GCGGTGAAGGAAGCGCGGGTACTCCGAGATAGGAAAGGAAGGCTTGTCAACGACGATTTCTAGATCACTGACTGCGAGTGCCATAAGTGCCGGGCGTTGGGAGACGGCAAGGATGGTTTCCTTCTGCTCGATGTCGTCCGGCAGCTCATCCAGGCCCCAGAATGTTGAGCGGATGTCGCTCATGGACCGGTTTTGCGTTGTCATCGCGAAGTCGATACGCTTCTTCCACGTCTGAGCGTTCAGGCGGTTCAGCTTTACGCGTGCATCTTGTACAGACGTCTGGTATGATCCACTAAGACCGCTGAAACCATCCTTGTTATATCGCATAGGATGATCTGAACGACCTCGGTCCGGCGAACTATGACCGCTTGAGTCGGCGCTCTTCGTGCGTCTGTGGAATCTAAGCTCTTTGTCCTTTTTCTTGATCTTGTTCCGTCCGCGAACGTCATGTGCGGATCTTGCGCGGTAACGAGAGTTTCCACGCTGATCGTCTTGCTGCTGCAGTTTCCGCACTTTCAGATCAAAAGCATGTTCACGAGCAAGCCTCTGCTTCTGTTCCATAAGACCAATGCGGTAGATAGTCCCTAGTTTCCATTCAAAAGCGTTGTCTTCCAGCTCGAAGAGCACTGCGCGGCTTCGGAGCGATATCTTTGGCACAATCTTGGGGCCTTCGGCTTCCTTGTCCAGAACGTACTCATTGGTTCCAGTCTTGAAGCGATGATGCACCTGCTTGACAGTCTTGGCAACATTAGCAACGTTGTCAAAGATCTTGTGCATGACTAATTGATGAGGTACAGCAATTCTTATGGCGTCCGTTGCGATATCGAACGACTTCTCGTCCGTTATCGTGTGGCCGTATCTGAGCTTGGATTGCCGATAATCCAGTCTGAGGGATTTGACGCTAACAATACGACTCCAAGCCCGTTTGATGGCTGGGTTCTCTGCCAACAGTCGAACTAGGCGCGACCGAAGGAATGGGCTGGTCCAGCGATGTTTTCCTGCTTCAAGTCCGTAGATCTGAAGCATAAGAGGCGGGTCTCCTGGCATGTCTGCTTTGATCTGGACGAAATGGGCTTTAACGTCGACTGTCATAATCTCGTGGCTAATTCCGCTAAGTGGATCGACAGTGTCCTCGCCTAGCGTCGGTACGGAGAGGTGTCGCGGCGAGTTGGTTGAGGTTGGCTCCGCAGCCTTGTTCTTCCCGACGTCCCAGTCAAAAGACCTCTGTAGAACTTGCAGCGCCATGCACAAGGCAAAATGGCGATACAGCGAATAGCGGAGAAATAAGTTCTGACTGTACGAGTGGATGTGGAATATCGGACCCTGCTTATCAGAGAGCGTGTGCAGAGCGATCTCCATGCGAGGCAACGACAACGTTGGTTCTTGCTCCGGCTGGTCATCCCCTTCGATGATTAACCCCTCTAGTCCATAGAAATGTAAAGCAAGTCGTCTCCCATCGGTTGGGTCGCCTGAGGTTCCTTTCGGCGATTTTGGTGAGGTCGGGGGTGGTGATCTAAGTAGGTGTTCTTCGCGGTTGATGGTCCTGCTTGGTGCACGGCGTCTTGCAGGCTTCAGGTCCGTCTCTTCTTCCCGCCCTGTTTTGTATTCCGCGGTCCAAGATTCCAGATGCAAGCCGACCCCTCGACTGTGTTTCGATATATCAGCATCTATTCCAGCGACATCCACGTTCCAGTCTGATCCTTGGAGGTGAACGTATGTCATCCAAGCTGGTAATCTACGAAGTGCATTGAGCCCTTTTTTCTTCGGCGCGCTACGCCGACGGCCCATATCCGCTGACATTTTCGTGACGATCTGTCGCAGTCCTTCGCTAATTTCAGGCCGTACCATGTACAGGGAAAATGTCTGTGCCGTGCCCCAAACCTCGACGACAGGGTCAGGAGCTGCACTCATCTGCACTTTGACTTCCAGATAATCTGTCAGAAGCAAATTATGCTTCTCGATCGCTGCAGTTTGATAGTAGAGTTGCTGTGCGTTCATGCGGAAAGTTGAGCTCAGCGCATAATGCAACTCGCCATCCGCAGAGTGTGATGACTCCATGTCCAACGATATAGATGAGGATGCAGAAATTAACAGGTCGAACTCGTCCTTGTCGTGCCTATCGATATCCATCGGTGGTAGGCTGACCCGGATGACAGGCTCATGTATTGACATTTTGATGTTTGCCTTTGGTAACAGCCGGCGAAAAAGGTAGCGCTTACGTTGTCTGGTCTCGGGAGGCTTGCGATTTGTCTCGTAATTATGGAACAAGGCAACTAGCAGCGGCAGATGTTTGGGATCGAGGTCCAGAGACGGCGACGTGACGACCAAGTTGGCGAAGAGTATGTTGGTGTTGCGCTCAGCGCTATCTTTATCGTTAGAGAAATGAATCGTTTTCGAAGGGAGGGTTGTGTTCAAGGTCGTCGTGGCCATTGGAACGTAGAGGAGGCGTTCGGGATGACCATGGCTATTATCAATACCGACTGATATGGATATTGCAGCAAGAAGAGCCTGATGGGCAATGTCGTTGGGCGAGAAGTACATGAGATGTGCGGGACTGCGAGGATCTAGGCGTAGAAGATCCATGCCAACTTCTTTCATGGAAATATTGAGGTAAAATGGGGGATCTGAGCTATGGGCAGTCTCGATTTGCTTGGTGAGGCCGAGGAAACCAACAGCGAACTGGAACTCGTGAATTCCACGCAGGATGGAGCTGGCGAACTCGCGGGAATCGGAGACAGTACGGACGAGGTTTTCTTCGCGACTGTTCGGGTCTTCAAGCTCTTCCATGACATCGCTGAGCGATACATCTGTACGACTACCACGATTCCTTTTCCGAGGGCCGGTCGTGCGACACTTCTGGGCTCTCTCAATGCATAGCTTGACGTCGTCATATGGGATGAGGAGTCGACCCAGCTTGAGTGCGATGGATGCATCGCGCAGGCCCTCGAGCTCTTTCTTGAGAAAGCCGTGAACGTTGAGAGTGCAGTGGTCGAGCAGCTCCGTCGATTCCCTGCCTTCTGGAGTGAAGAGGATGCTGCGCGCGGAGAAGAGCCACTCGGCAGGCCATTGTTCCTGGTCTGGCTTCGGCTTGTGGTGGTTGAAGAGGCGGCTGCGGTCGACCGTCTTTCGCCTGGTGTCTACAGCCAGGTTTAGGCCACCGACCTGCACTGAGCCCACGTCGACTACGACAAGGGTGGTCGCGTGAGCCACGACATCGACCTGCCTGAGCCAGTTGATGTTCCTGTGCAGGCGCTTGATCTTCTCCTTGGCATCCGTGAGCCTCTTCCACGTCTGGCTTCTCTGTGTCTCGTCGTCGTCGTCGTCGTCGGCCACGGGCTCCGGGGTGTTCTGGCCGCTGTTGCCCTTTTGTGTCGTGCCGTTGGCCCAATGTGCCCAGCCCGTCTTCTTCCGCGGCTTCTCTCCAAGCGCCTTGAGGTCTACCGTGACCTTGAGCTCGTGTAGGACAATGCTGACTACCGTCGGTTGGGCGAAGGTGGGTCGATGGAGGGTAAGGCCAAGGCCGCGGATTTCGATGCGCAGGCCATCCTTGGGGGTGAAGGCGATGCGTCGCAGGCCCCGTAGGCCGAGTCGCTGTATGGATACGCCAGTGGCTATGCGTATAAAGGCGAATAGAACGAACGAGAGCAGATATATCAGGAGCAGGAGCCCCGCAAGGAACTGGAGGGTTGGCAGGGCCATGATGCTGCTTCAACCGTATGCCATTGACCGAGTAGAGGATTATCCAAGAAGGTGGTCGCGAGTGCACGCGATGTGCCCGAGTGATTGGAGAGTCGACCGGCCGAACATAATCGAGGGAGGCGCAGGCGCAGGGCTACGAGGGTTGCTGCATCGAGGGCGAGGCGACGGCGTAGGTGAAAGTGCGGACTTAACGGTCGGGGGAGACAAATGCGGCCAAAGCGGCAGTCCCGGAACGCGTCACCTGGTGGTTGAGGCGAGCTACGAGCCAAAATTCGAGGTACCGGCGATGGATCGAGCAGTGACGACTATGGAGACGTTCTCTCCAGTCTCTCTGCGGGGCTCCGTATTTCCCTTTGTGGTGTCTTGTGCAGATGCCGTCAGATTTCCAGGTTCCCACGCTTCGTCGGCACCATATCCCTGCCATGCCAAGGCCCACCCGCGTACCTGGAAGGAGCTTGTCACACCCTGACGTATCGCTTCCACTTCAGCAGCACCCTCTTGCATTCCTCGTACTTGCTTTCTACTACCATACTATTGACGCGCGTGAAAAAGTTTACGCTACCGGCTATAGGACGTGGCCATCTTGGCCGCATCGATGCGAGCCTCCATCGTGCCCATCGGTCGTTCCTGCCAAGTGTGACCGATCGCGGCTGTCCGCATACGTGGGACGACACATCCAGGGAGCTCAACCCACATTACCGCCGGATGGCGTCGGGAACGAAGATACCCCATCCTTGCGGTGGATCGTTGCCCTCGAGCCCTTTGTAATCCTATGTATTGCTCACAGAGTATCAGACTTACCAAAGTTTTCAGACATCTTTAATCACATCAGAAGAATAACTAATCTGGATACCTCCAAACGTGTTACCGCATTCTTGCCTCCACCTTCCTTTTGCTAGCGTACTGCTTTCCCTAAGCTCACATCGTTGCAACGCCTTTCTTGTGTATTAACGTTCGGAAAGAGGCCTTGTGGGAAGGAAGCTATAAATGGAAGTCCAGAACGAAGACATTCCATATTTTCTAGCATCACCCAACCAAACATCAATAATCACGAATCGTCCGCATCAGCGAGTACCCGAATCAATATCTGGATGATAATGGAATCACAAATCAAACCGAGTACCTCCCTTCCACGACCTTTTCCTGTGGAGTTCTTCAGGCACAAAAGCTACGATGTGACCTTTTTCTACATGTTCTCACTGCACGATGCTCACACAATCCTGGCGAGGGAAAGGGACGCCACAGTTCACTTCAACCCGCAAAACTCGCCGATCACAGTCTACTAGGAATACACCGAGACCATGGCTCGCTTTCCCGATAAACCCCGCCATCTTCTCAATGGACCACTCAGCCTTGCCGATGCACTCTACATTTGGGCAAGAGACCGATATCCGCCGGCACGTATGACCATTCTACGAGAAACTATGGTCAAATCATCTGGCGGTATGCTAGACAGGGAGTATGTGTGGCAAGGCTGGCTTTACAAAGAAAGAACGGGAGGGTGGGACGTGGATTCGATGGCATACTGGCCGAGCATGGAAACAGTCACGACATCGTCATCGGGTTATAACAGTGGACTGACACCATGGATCCGTGAGGTCGGGACTGCGAAAGGGCAACTCCGGGTGTACAGACCTGAGAGGGGGAGAAGAATAGAATGAGCATGGCAGATATCAATTGTGTGGTCGATACGCCGTGGGTATCGAAGTTATGGAATAAACGCAGCATTGGGGATCAAGAATTATGAACCTTGCGGATACATGTTTCTGCCAGCTATCCACATTCATCTGCAAGGCTGACTACTATCGTTGATTCGTACTGTTGGCCACACCTCCTCCCTGACATAACGTTCAGCTCAACCACGACGACGACGCTGAAACACTCTTTTCAACCACTCAACCATTCGAACTCCGAAGATGCTGTGGAAGGGCCAAAGTTGTATCGAATGAAGCAGGGCTGGCCGTGAGCATTGCGAAACCACCATGGCTGGTCCGATAGCAAATTTTTCGACTGAGTTGGACAACACGTGTGACACATCCTCGTCAGAAGGAGGCCCAACAAACTAGCACCAGTATTGCAATTATCCTTCCTGACAGCTCCGATAACGAGCTCCCACTTCATCTTTGTTGCGACTGAAGGAGGGATCGACCATCGTCTCTTCCATCTGCTCCTGATCCTGAGACGTTTCACGGCAGATGCGATATCAAGTTGTAACCCTAACTTGACGGCCTCCAGACAACGATCTCTATTTCGCCTTAGAGTTGGGCGAGATCCAAAATCTTGTCTAGAACCGGTCCCTTCGCTCGCGTTGAGAATATACATCGAGACGTGGATGTCGTGCGATGTGCGATTTGAAAAGCGACTGAAGGTTGGCGACTGCTTGTCGTAACGAGGCAGAATATGTCCGAGGAAACAAGTGTATTGGGCTATTTTGTCCCTGGGAGTGGCGGGAGGATTTGAAGCGAATGATGAGATCACGGTTTTCGAAGATGAAATCAACGTCGTGAGTAGAGTGATGCGTATAGTGGACCAAAGACTTGTTGATCAGCCCTTTTGTAATTGGTGATGCGAAGACCGTCGATTATCACGTCGCGTATTTCGCGTAGCAGGGTGCGGACAGGCGACATGTCTAGGTCTGGCTGGGGTTACTGCGAAAAGGTGGACTGTAACGGAAAGAAAGAGAGGTGCAGTCGAGTCGTGCGCATATCCTTCGCTTTTTGTTCAATCCTTTGTTGGGTGGCCCAGGTAACCATCATTTGGTTCAGGGTGCGGTAGGAAAGGGTTCATCTCTGTCTGGGCATATTATACTTGCCATGTCTTCCCTCGGAGTTGCTAATTGGTCCGATATTGCCGAGATCACTGGAATTACAGGGGCTGTGGTTGGCTCGTTGTGTGAGTTGTACCAAGGTATCCAGTATGTAAGCTTACCATAAACATACATGCTGCGCTATAGACCATAATCTCTCAACAACATCCTCAACGGACATCTCAACCCTGCGTCTCAGCAAACAAGGACTGCTGTTTGCGAATAGCGGTCACGACAATATGGTTCTGCGGACTAAACTTGTTCGATTCCTACATGCATTGGTTGAGGTTCTTTTAAAGACGCAATTAAGTCTTTGCTTATAGACACAATGTGGTATGCTATGTAGTCTTGGAATAGCCTATCATCGCTTGCTCGCGTAGGCTACAGCCGGTTATCTTACTGCATTACCCAACGTGCCAATTCACTCATCGAAGTATTAGGATCTTTGGTCTTAGCAGTTGTTGTCAGCATGCAGCAAAGACCCAAGGCATGCGCGCTGTAAAACGGAAACGTGTTGGGATGCTCCAATAGTGGTGACGCCATCAGGGGGCACCGAGGCTAAGCAACGTGACGCGATTCGACCTTACCAATAACGCGATGATTTGGCAAGAACGCGATGCCAGCGCGTCTCATTTATTGCTACAAAACAGCATGAGAACCGTGTAGCCATGCACGCGTGTGTAATGTCACCATGCCCGCGACTTCCAGGTTGTTGACCACGAAACAGTCTTAAGAGCTCTACAACATACGTTACATCGTATGCGTTGATCACCTCAACCTTCAGGCCGCAAGGTCAATCTATCACGCGTGGTTGGATATGCCCGATGCGCTACCATCAAGAAAGCTCGTTGGCTAAGATTTGCATTCCAGGAATGTCGTGGCACGTCAATCACGAAATATCCGCGCCTTCGCTGCTTAGTACACATCGGTAGCGGCGGTGGAGTTGTTGCCATCAAATGCACTACACAGAAGGAGTGAATCCCAAGGCTGCATCAACTGCAACAATTGCGATATGGGTGCTGACGTCGGATCCACACCCCACCGTCGGGCTCTATCCATTTTTCAGTACAAACATCCTTTGTTTGTTAGTCGATCATCACTCTACAGTGTTTAAAATATCAAATACAAGACACTAAACACGAATCCAGTCGACTTGCTGCGGCATCGCATACCTCAAAACGGTCCGTCACAGAATGCGAGTCTGTCCACCAGTTTGCGAATGGTTTAGGGGTTGCCCAAACCAAGCCCTTATATACTATGCCTTCTCCGATAAATGGCTATGTTGTTATTGCATTGGATACGCACGGATCGGGACTCCGCTTTGCGCAGAAGATGGCTGGAGACGCGGCACTTGTGTCGACACCGAGGGGCAAAACTGGTTCTGTGATTCGCATGCAAATCGATGCGATGCCATTATAGAGAGGCCGCCAGGTCGCTCTACGGGAAATCCACATCGCTGCATGCGTGTGGGAACCTTGTATCAAGACAACTACGATGGCCAATACTTCTGTATCGGACACATGCCAGGTTACCAAGGACCGTTCCGTAGCGAGCCGGCCAATCCACCACAACGACCTACTTTACCGTCAACAGGGCGTTCGATGGTCTCGCAGATTTCCATGCCTACACCATATCTTTCAGATATACAGTCAGGAACTTCAATGCCGCTGCCACCATCGCATGCGTCACACCAGCCCCGAACAGTAACAACTAGGCGCAGACAGGCTCTTGGTACGAACCGAAGCCAGGATATATCCGCTTCTAATGTCCTTACACCCCATGCTACACTCCCGAGAGTGGTCTCTCGACGTTCGAACCGCACTCCATCCATTGCCACACAGCCTCAAGGTCTTGTTGCACGCATCGCAAGCGCTATCTCGTCCCTGTCTACGATTCTTTTGTCTCCCGAAAACGATCTGTCTCCTTCTCTTACCGACATAGTCCCTACAAATTCAGACACTCCAGCAGTGGCGCCAGCAGCACCGCACTCAACATTCCGAGTCGACTTGAATGTCTTCTCAACTGTTGTAGATACTGAATGTTGCATATGTTTGGAACCGCAAAGAAGTATGCGTCGTCTCATCACTTGTAGTCATATGTTCTGCGAAGAGTGTTTGTCGAAGCAGGTCAACGGGCCGTATGCGAGGGCCCACGATTGCCCGCTTTGCCGGAAAAATATATTCGAAGGCACGGAATGGGAGACATACTGAGCTAGGAAAGTAGAGGTCCAAAGAACTCTTATATAAACTAAAGTTCTAAATTTGTGTATCTGTAACAGTGACGTGTTTTGTTGGTTTCCATATGCAGCTTCCATCTCATGTATAGTTAATTTGTTGTTTGTCACATTGCTTTGCTCATTCACCTATATTAGGTGCATCTACTTAACGTATGATAGATCATCCAATCAATCTCATCTGATCTATCACCTGTTCTGTTCCAAGATGTTTCCTGTCACTACCCGCATGCTTCCACACTGTCGGAGCCATGGCTCCATTTCGTCTCTCACTTCGCCAAACTCATCACTCACTACTCCACTGTCTTCTGTCAGTTTCCAGCAGTGTTTGCAAGTCTTGGCACACTGAGACTGACTACAACTTCTGCACCCTCGATACTGTCTTCATTCTTCAACCCGTATTGAAGCACAAATTGTATACCGAAAACAAAACAATGGTGTCGAGCGAACCCATCAAACCACCCGTTACAATGGCATCACCGTCAAATTCCGCGGACACCTCGTATGTGTTATTAATTCACTCTAGGTAGCACCGACGCTGACGTTCTATAACACAAAGGCTGTTCAATAACCCGACTCTCTCTGACGTCAAGATCCGCCAAATTTACAAAGGCAAAGTTACAGAGTACTTTGCACACAAAGCTGTGCTCTGCGCACACTCTAAGTGGTTTCTCAAAGCGTTTACTGGAAAGTTCAAGGTATGTCTCTTTCTCGTAGACCTCGACCAATCTTCACTAAGTCCCTTTCTCAGGAAGCTTCTGAGCAAACAATCGAAGTGCTCGATGACGACCCGAAGAAGTTCGAGCTCATGCTCAAGTTCATTTATACTATGGACTTGCCTCCCCCTTCAAGCTCAAGCTCGTGTCATATTGAGGCCCTAGTCGAGCACAATATCATGGTTCCCATCGGCGTCTATATTCTAGCTGACAAGTACGAGATTACTCCTCTCCTGCACCATACCTGCTACCAAGTCGGGGTTTCTATGCGTATTCATGGAAAGTCTCTGAAAGATGATCATATTGCTGCGATTGTTGCAGCATATTATGATTCTTGTTCACGCGCCCAGAGCACCATGGGCATTACCATAGCACAGGGAATCGACAAGCATGTTGGTTCTTGGATCTCGCACAGCCAGATGCATCCAGACACTACCTTTGATTCGATGGTTAAGAAATACGGTTTTTTCGCTGCGGACCTTGTGCTTGCCTTGAAATCTGCTGGACGTTTAGATTTTGGCAGATAGTTCTCGAAACTGCAGAGGTTGAGAGCGAAAAGTATCACGGAAGTCATGTCATCTTGAGAGAAGTTTACAGGCTTGCAGACCAAACAAAGGTCGATTCGGGCCAAGAGTCCATTTCTGTACGTATTATGCGTTGATAGAGTCACCCCCTGTAGGGAACATACCATACGATGACTCAATGCATATCCAGCGCACTGCTGCCTTCCCATTGACCCCACAACTTCCTCATGATACCCTGCCTCTGCAACGTGTCTTGTAGGTCTTTCAATGCAGCAAGTCTACCACTGCCATCTTTCATCTTCCAGTTCCAACCCTCCGAGCGACCAGCCATAACCAGGTCCCACTTTGCCTTGTCATCCGTTGATAGCATATGTGCCTCTGGCTTGCTGGATACCGTGACCGGATCGCGTGCCTGTAGGAAAGCAAAGTTGGCTGTACCCTGCATGCATTCGCGAACCTCGAGAAGTTTCGTAGTCAGGTGCGGGTTATATACACGCGCAGTGTCTGCTAACTTTAGCAAAGAGCTCTTGTAAGGTCACAACATTTTTACTCACTGACGATACCGATCTTCATCTCGTCAGCCACATCCGCGACAGCAACTTCCATCTCTTCGTGACCTGTCTCTTCAACCATTCTCACGTTGATCTGACGCCCGCCGACTTTGCTCCAGCACAGCTCTTGTACAGCGCGTTCTGCTTCTTGTTCTCCAGCGATCCTGATGAATGTGCGTAACGGGTAGGCAAGGTTCTTGACGTTTGGCAGAACAAAGTCAGGCGAGATGGTGAAATCTTGGAACAGCGTGAGGACGTCTTGATGAGTGAGTTGTGGTGGGTAATTGGAAAGCTCGATCTTCTCCCAATGCATACTTGATCGTCGTGACGGCGTGGGAGAGGAAGGTGGTGTAGGTGGTGTAACTTTGATCGTGATCGAGTGAGGAAGAGGGATTCGAGGTGGGGCCCTACGATGTGCGCTGAGTGAATGGACGGTCTTCGTGAAAAATCGGTGAGTGCGGTTGGACGGCTTGGCCATTTGCACTCCAGGGTCCGATATCATCATTGTAGCCTAATTTGGGTGATTAGCAGTGTAGATACAAGATCACTTCAATCATAAAGAGGTTCCGTTGAGGCAGTGATTAAGAGAGGTCAAGGTACGATGTTGAAGATTGCTCGATGTCTATATTCTACTGGATGTGTATGTACACGGTCACCTTAACAATGCAACTCGTCTTCACCTAGGGTTTGCAAAAGTACATGTTGATTGCGCAAGTCCTGGAGGCGATACCTTGGGCGATACACACACATCTCGGACGTCTCTCTCACCTCGCAGCTAGCGCGACGAGGTAAGATGTTATATCGATGATCACCACCACTTCTCAGCTTGCGCACTGACTTGGCTGAGGAAGAATTTTGTGTAGGGTTTCTCGAAGAACTTGACAAGCAATTCCCAACCGGACTGAGGCCGGTCATGGGACCTCTTGAGACGAATGAACGGGATTTAGGGAGTTGTAAGCCCAGAGATTGTTCTCCGTACTATTCTCTTACCACATCTGCGAGTGGAGACAGCGATTCTGGTTAGCTGAGATATTCAGTCGACATGAACCGATGGCGGTGTGGGAGTGCATCAGAAGACACGAGACAATGGAGAAAGATGAAAAAGCAACAAAGGGATAACGATAAAGCCAGGTTTGAGGGGAGCTTTGATGATGTGATATGAACAAGCGGAGGCCAGAGCGTTGCGTGAAATGCTAGCTGGAATAAAAGTTGAGGATGAAGGCAATGCAGCACAGTCTGAGAATCAGAAAACATAGGGGACCGGCGCACTCGGCGAGTCTCTCGTCAAATGTTTAGGGGAGACATGGCGTTAGAATGAGATAAATGAGAAGAGCATTATGCAATGGAGATAACATTTCCTACTAGCTTCTCAGTGGGATATAAGCTTAGCGTTCTTCGGCAGAATTTACGAAGCCCACTCACCCACACGCTCAATCCAAGGTAAAGGCTTATCGTCCAACACAGCCACCTCGATCATTTCCACCCTTGACTATCTGTCCTCAGGTGAGTCATGATTATAGGAACAGTGGCATGAGTGACGTTAAGAGCCGAAAAGGCAGCCGCGAACGAGATGCGGAGGTTGACGCGCTCCGATTGGCGGCCGGAGAAGGCCGATGGTGGGGCAGTCGCGGGGTATCGTCACCATTTCCACCATGGTTGCAGGCCGTCTCGTTGCATGTCGGCGATTAATTTGCCTGATGTCCAGTTGTTTTCTTATGTACATCCAATTGCGCGTATTCAAGTCTCCCTCTCGCATTGCCCAGGTGACATAGCCATCCCTTTTGCTCGAGATTACTGTGTCGATCGCCGAAACAGCATCCCACCAAGCCCCACCTTCCCCTGAACGCATCTAGCGGTAATCGTCGAAATCATGACCGAATCAATTCCTAAGACACAAACTGCAGGTTGGATCCAAGATCCCGGCCCTGATTGCGTCCTCCAGATCCGAAACGATGTCCAAGTCCAGACCCCTTCCACCGGCGAACTCCTCGTAAAGCTCGAATACAGCGGGATATGTCACAGCGACTGCCACAACCTGGTCTCTCCTGGCAAATACACCGAGGTGCCTGGTCATGAAGGCGTCGGCACTGTCGTTTCACTTGGCCAGGGTGTATCAGAAGACCTGCTAGGAAAGAGGGTGGGCATAAAGTGGCTTTGGAACGCGTGCAAGGAGTGCAGTAGCTGTAAACAGGGCAAGGAGAACCACTGTGCCAAACAGAAGAACACTGGACGGAGTGTTTGGGGTACATTGCAGCAGTATGTAGTTGCGGATGCCGAGTTTGTGACCAAGATACCCGAGGGAGTCAAGAGCGAGATTGCGGCTCCACTACTCTGTGCAGGCCTGAGTCTTGCGGGCGCCGTGTCCAAACTCACTCCAGAGGTCAATCCAGGCGACTTTGTGGCTATCATCGGTGCTGGAGGTGGTCTGGGGCATATTGGTGTGCAGATTGCTACCATCAAGGGATACAAAGTCATCGCGATTGACAGCGGCGCTGAAAAGGAGAAGCTGACCAAGGAAATGGGTGCCGTCGCTTTTGTCGACTACGCCAAACAGGATGTATTACAGGCAGTCAGGGACCTCACAAATGGTGAAGGTGCGCATGGCGTCATCTGCGTCGCTGGAAGCGAAAGAGCCTATCAGCAAGCTCCAGCATTGGCGAGGAATAGTGGCGTCTTCGTTTGTGTTGGACTTCCGCCGGACACATTCATGTTTCCCATGTCTCCGATTCACATCGCTAACAGAGGTATTTCTTCACATCTTCTCTAAATGCTGGAGACATTACGCTAACGATACCAGGGTTGGTCATTAGAGGATCGTCAACAGGCAGCGCTAAGCAGATGGATGAGCTTCTACAAATGGCTTTGGAAGGCAAGATCACACCAAAAGTCGAAGTATACGACTTTGCCGACTCTCCAAAGATTTTGCAGGAATTGCAACGTTACGAAGTTACTGGTAGGAAGGTAGTACGGGCACCGTAAGAGCGTCACTGGTTCTGCTCAAAACTCAGCAGTTGAGAGCATGCAATAAGGCGATGTTATCATCCATATGCGGTGACGTTGAAGTGGTGCATGGAACGGGGTCAAGGATGTGTATGTGGGTGGGTGTACAGTATGTAGAATATCTGCGGGATTCGGCACCATTCCTTGGCAAGAGACATTGACTGCGTGAAACTTCAATGGCGATAACGGTATATTGATAGGTTTGCTTAGATGCTATGTGGATTCGTCCAGACGTATCTCATTTTCTGCAAGACCCTCGACTGATATATTGGACTCAGTTAGTACCAGTCCCCGCTCTCCTCGTTTGCCTTCACGTCCATCGGGTTCATGCTCATGATCCGCTGCCCAGGTATCGTGTCCGTGAACGCACTCTCAAACACACCACTAACAGCTCTTCGCCCGATCTCAATGAAACTGTCGTATGTGTCATTTTCGCCTGTGATAGCGCTCCATTCAGGATCCGTGGGGCTGCGTGCAGGCCCTAAATCGCTCCAGCGCGTAACGATGAGAGCCTGTTTGAAGCGTTCAGGGCCGTTGCCGCGCACACTCTTATCTTCGACAAGTTTGAGTTCAAACAAGTATTCGGTGGGACATTTTGGGCACCGACGCATCGGTCGGCATACGGAGCAGAGGTGAACCATGCCGACGGCTCTTTTTCCTAAGTTGCGTTCGCGGAACTTGTCGAGAGCCGTTGTTTCGGAGTCGTGGACGTGAGGAATATGCTTCAGTGCACACTTGGGGATCGAAGTTAGTAGTCCATGTTTCCAATGCGCGCATACGCTGAAGTAGGGCGTATAGTCTCCACGGCTAAACAAAAGCATGCGCTTTGCTGCATCTGTCATACCGCCTTCAACATAATGTTGTGATCGAATGCGCATCAACACGTGACCCTTGTCAGTGATGTGATATGTAGAGTCATGGCTCCAGTCCGAGTACCCATCTTTCCAACGGCGGCCCAGCGACTGGTGGGGAATGCCATATTCTGGACCGTAGGCCCAATGGCGGCGAGCTAATTGAATGAAGGCGAATGGGAGCGTGCGGCCATCGCTTAGACGAATTCGCGGTGGAGGGATGTGGATGTTGGTTCGATTAGGGCATTCAAAGAGTGGGTTAAGGACATTTTGAGGTTTCAGTGTCTCTAGGCCAGGCTGGATTCGTAAATGCCACTGCGCGCAGGGAAAACAAAAGAGATGGCGTGGCATCTTTTGGTCCATTGCAAGAAGAAACTCGAGCCGATGCGGCCGGTGGAGCGGGTCCATAAGTAGTTTGTACGGGTGTCTACCTAGTCGAGCATACATGGTCCGACATGTAGACGATAGGTTGGCAACATCGAGTGGTGACAGAAAATCTGCAATACGAAGCCATACTTCAGGCGATGCACTGCCAATTACTGCCATCCCATCAGGCTTTGTAGGGTCATATAGTAGCGATTGATCATCCCTTTCTTCTTCAATAGTATCCACTCCATCAATGTATGTGAAAGCATGCATCATATCTGTCAGATCCTTCCTTTCTCCGGTATCCTTGTCTAGAATATCATCGGCCCTTGTGGGCTTCGAAGGCGCCCGATGAGCCTTGCTTAACCTTGAAGGCTGGGGTTTTGATGGCGCGTACGGTAGAGTTTTTTCGTGTTCCAGTTGCGGTATTGATGCAGATCTCGAGCTATGTGGTTGATATAAAGGTGCAGCATACTGTGGTTGTCCTTCTGAGTTGCGACGGTAATCGGCCGCTTGTTGCCCAGGCTGTAAGTATGCGTTATTTGTGTCCGTAAGAGCGTTAACGGCAGCATATGGGTGATCACGCAACGCATGTGGCGCAAGACCAGTGACATCTTCGTAGGTCGGTAAGCCAGAAGCGTTCTCTGATAAATCGCTTCTTTCATTCGTGAAGCTGCCAGAATCCTGGCGGTTGGTGTTCGCGACGTTGGGGTTTGAGTCAAGCTTTCCGAGTATATCGCTTCGTGATCCTTTCTTGGAAAGCTTCTTCCGCGTACCCGGCTCTTTTGGTTGTTTCCCTGATCGCATGCCAAACATGGCACGCAGGCCGCCTTTCTTGGTTTCTCGCTCCGCCATAGTGGAGACACCTGCAGCTAAGCGTGGAGATGATGATTGGGTGTCGTTGGACTCAAGACGGGGATTTGGAGTCTGTGCGACACAAAAGATGACCAGGAGGGTTTACGCAGGCGGTATCAGTACAATTCATATGAGAAGTGTGCTTGTCGAAAGATGTTTATCGAAATTGCCGCAGGGTGGATAACGATCGTCATCGCGTGGCGGCTCGTTTCGGCAGGGGATCCGTACTCATCCGCTGCTCAATTAGTCCATTAGTGCGCCCAATCTGTGGGTAAACATGCCGTCATAAGTAACAGTGTGCATGCAATAAGCGGAGATCCAGACCGCTTCCAGGTCGACGTGTTACGGGCTCGCAGTGCGCGATAGTTCGGAGGCACGCGAAAGACGCACGACATGCATTGACCACTTACGTCTGACGTAATCTGCTAGAGGTTCGCCGATCTTTCACACTCTCCCACCAACCTCCTCATTATTTGTCCTGAATTCGGCTAACAATTCGATTGGATCACGGCAAGAGAATGGAGCTACTTTTTGAATTGAAAATGCTGAGACGTGGGCGAAATGTACAAAATTTCATCTATACCTAGACGCTTGACGCTTCCCAAATGATTTGTCAAGTGTCTCGATAGACATGAATAGTAACATCACAGGAGGCTCACCCTTGCTCTATGCTCCATTGCTAACCAAGGTACACACCATGTATCTGTGCCCATCAATCTCTCTTGCCAGTTCTCTATGCACCGGAGGGGTCGACCCAGGATAGACGCCACGATGTCTGCATACAAACTGACCTAATCGATAACAAGCTTGGAGGTAGCCTTTGAGAGCTCGCCATCATCGAAATCGTCACTTGTAGGCTGCATTGCTATATCTTCAAACACTCTTCCCAGATCTCGGCAAAGACCGTTGATAGTATCGCGATTCTGGACAGTTTGCGAGCCGCTGTAGACGCTGAGATCTTTGAGAAGGGTCGTCAATCGCTCTGACTGGCGCGTCTCAGCCATGCCATCAAGCGCAGGTGCGACCGATAAGACGAAAGAAATCAGGATCTGCAGGTTTTTGTGCAAGAAGAGATGTTCCGAATGGAGCATGATCTCGATTGTGTTGAGTGTCGCGATCTGTGCGGAGGATGTAGCGTCCATCTTCATAACTTTGGATGTGCTTTTCAGTAAATGGTCGATAGCCGGCCCTTCCCAGTCCAGTGTTGTGGTGAATAGTTCCAGGCTGGTTGCAGCTTCCTGTTCAAGATCTGAAGGCGCGATAAGCCCGACTGGCTCTTGACCGTATGCGCGCTCCTTCACAGCAGACTGTATGAGTTGTCGATGCAGGTCGTATCTTCCAAGCACGGTGCACATTTGCTTCAGGTGTGCCTTTTGCTCATCCGCTCTCTCGTAATCTTCCTCCTCCAGGGCCTCAAAAATGCGAGTGACACGACTAGACCTCGTGCCATTGTCCGCGGTATCGAGCAGTGGAACAACCTCGTACGCAAAGATGGAGAATTTGTCATAGTTCGCGCCAAAGAGAAGATAAAGCGACTGCGCCATTCTCTCTAAGAGGCTACAGCCCAGGTGTACTACTATCTTCGATTCGTGTTCTCCCATTGAGCATGCTCTGAGAAGATTAATTGAAAATCCCAAGACATTAACAGATTCGGAACCCCAGTCAGCTTTCGTGATGAACTCCCCGGTAGCCTCAAGAATATATTTGGCAGCAATATCGGCACCCATGATACTGTTATCGCCGACGATCTCGAGCTCCAGAGTTTGATCGATGCTGTCGAATAGTGCTCTAAAATTGTCTAGTCAGCCATGCTTGTTTGAATTATCATCAAAGACTTACCTGTAGAACTTAACAGCTGCTGTCCTAGCCTAGATCCAATGGCTCTCTATCTTGGTATTGACTACTTTGACAAGAGCATGCAGCTTTACCAAATCTCTACCAACAATCGATAGAAGCAGCTGGACTTGAGTGCGTATAACATCGTTTGGCGACTGGCTGTCGATGGATTCGGTGACATCGAGGACTAGCTCAATAAAGTCAAACTGGTCCTGATACACGTCGGTTTAAAGGTGCACGATTATGTCGGCAGATTCGGCCATGGCTGTAGTGGTCGCGTCGCAGCGATTTTGCAGGTGAGGAGCGCACGACTCAAGACAGTATTAGAGACACGTCGTGGTACTGGGACGCACCCCGTAGGGCAAGAGCAAACACATGAGGCTTGGCATCTGGCAAAAGGCCAGACGCGCTGGCGGTGAATTCACGCCTGCAACAAACACTCGGTAGACCAAGATCCTTGGCAACGGTCACTTATGCTCACATGTACGTGTCGCGACATTCACAGCACATAGAATGAGTGTGTCAGTCGATCAATAAGGTCATATGCGGTATCTTCATAGTACATAACGACATTACTGCCAGCCAATAATGCCTCACACTCCGCATCCTCCTATATTTTGCCTTTCACATTGATCAGCTATCCTACCTCAAAGCGAACTGTCCTTTCACCTTGAGTTTAGAGACGAGGTCTTCGTCCGCCTTCTCCGTCCACTGGGATGTTGTGCATCAAATGGATGATTGTCATACAAAACATATTAAAAACACAGTCGACGGTGTAATAGCGATATCACCCATAAAGGTCATGATATTATTGGTGATCTGGACTTCTGAGTGTAGAGAGTATGGTTTATGGAAGCTGCAGGTAGGCAGAAGATTCTGTACGCACAACTTTTGCCGGTTGCGCAAGCCGCTTCATCACCGTTGTATCAGATCATATAGCTATGCTTTCCTTCAGACCTTTGTTTCTCCTCAGGAAGAGCACACTTCTAGCTTCGCGACCTCCACGTCGAGTTTCTCGCAATCATGTAGTCTTTACTTTGGATGGCCTTCCAGATACCCCAAAATCCGCCTAATGGCCAGATGCTCCTTAGTTTTAATCCTAGATCCTTATTCGCCATGTTCGTATACTTTTCGATATCGACATGCACTTTGTCATACACTTCTGGCAGCATTTCTGCGTTATATTTCTTCCTCAATCCCTGATGCCATTTGCGGTCGAACTGTGACCAGAATTCATCTTTGCTATAATAGGTTTGCGCATATAGCCACTTCATACCACCCATCTCGCCAAGCGTCTTCTCTAGCGCGCGGTTCTTGTGAAGGTAAGTGGTTGGGTCTCTGGGACCAAAACCCCAGAGGCCAATGTTAAGCATCTGGTCCGACTTCAGGCTGCCTTTGGTATGGGGATGCATTGTTGGCTGTGGGCTTTGCTTCAAAGGACAGAGCCATAGAGGCCAGATATTGAACGTCTTATCGGTGTAGTCGATGAACTTTTCGGCATTCGGATAGGGCAAGGCCATATCTTGCACGATGTAGCGTGTTGCAATGCCCGATGCATGGAGAGCTCGGTAGAGCATGCGTGTATGGAGGAAGTCGTCGAGGAACCATCGAGTATACTTGTTGAAGGGAAAGCGCATATAACTGAAAGCGGATCGACCAACCCAAAAGCCACCACGGTCGTAGCGGAACATGTACTCGGCCAACGGTATGTACTCTACGACTGGCTTGGTGGAATATCGTGTTGCGTTTTCGACATGCAGGTAGAACCATGGGTCCCATGGGTTACTGAAAGTTTGTGGTTTGGTATTTGGTGGAAGCTCATCCGTCATCTCGCCTGTAACGATAGCACCATGCTCTTTGTTGAATAAAATTCCATCGACGTAGTCGTTCTTCTCCCCCCTGTCGCCTCGGGTATGATCTTCGACTTCTTTGACAGCTTGAGCAACGCTACGTGTAGGATAGTATGTTGTCTTGACATATTTCTTAGCCTCAATGAGCTTCAAGTCGACAAGCGTAGTAACGCCTAAGGTACCGACGGCACCAGCAGCTCCTCTGAAGAGGTCTTCATTTTTCTTTTCGCTAGCCTTGGTCACCTCACCATCAGCCATGACCATCTCCACCTCATTGATGGTACGATCGAAGAAGCCGAACTTAAAACTGCTACTCTCGCCTGCCGTTCCCGCATAACCTCCACCAACAGTGATACCAGGAAACTCCATCACGACGGGTGGCACAAGACCATGCGGTAGCGTAGCTTCTACGAGGCGATCCATAGGCACATTTGGCTCAACAAGCGCCGTCTTGCTTTGCGTGTCAACACTGATGACATTTCGTAGAGCGCTGATGTCTACGACATGCTTCTTAAGATTTGGACGCGTGCTGTTGGTCGAGCCGTGAGATATCCGGAAAGGCTCTTTGCGCGTGAAGTAGTCTTTGACTTTTGACGCGACTTGCGCGACAACGCGCTGATGACGATCCATCCTGAAATGAAAATGTGAAAAGTTGAGAACGCCGGTAAATGCCAATGCTATCGATACATGACGTGTTTTCTATATCTATGGTCGAAGCTGCGCGATTGACGATCAGATCGGTAGAGGCGCAGATTTTCTCCGATGCGCTAAACTTCACTGGTCTAGATCAGGGCTGTCTTCTTTCTGGCTTCGCTCTCCATCTGCAAACATCATGTCTGGGAACAACACATTCCTAACAATCACTTGTTATCTCCAGTACTTGAAAGCCTAGCATACATAACACATCGCATCGAGTCGACTGTACTCACTGGTATATCGTCTCTCAAGAATACCCCGATTATTACTTGGTAGTACACAAGGGCAGTGCTCAACTCTGGGTCAAACAGTACATCAGAAAGTACGCGGTATGAGCATAGCTAAGATCCCGCTTGACCTTGTTGCAATGTGGTTTAGTTTGCTGCAGCTGTACGGTCGAGTCTTTGTGACCCGAAACGTCTCGCCTGAAATAGGTTAGATCATTTCCGGTCGAGCTTCACAAACTGGAGCTTGCCCTGAGCTGACAGCATATCTCTTGCGACGAAATGTCCTTCCAAATCCATGGACTTTGTTGCATTTATCTTTCCAGACGACTTCCGTGATTATTGTCTATGTCTTATCGCATGTCTCTATTATTGCACCCTGTAAAGGTTACATCGGCCTTGCAGAAGCGGGCCGAGGACGCTTGACGGCAGCCAAGACACAGCTACCTAGATATCTTAATACGACAATAGGACCCAAGGTGCTTAAACGACTTGACTGCCTTTCCCATCGTATCACACAGAGTATGATGTTCTTCGTGTTATCGCATTTCGTCGGTCTCGTAACCGCGCTGCATTCTCTCCCCCCTGTCTTACCGAGCTACAGCGATACGAGTGACCCCGGCTTCTCAGTCAGCACGGGCGCAAGGAAGATATACATCAACAAACAATTCGCTGGTACAAGGGACTCTGAAGGTCTGACCCTCATACCGCCATCTGCTCATGAGTTCGCGGACACACTTCGCGCCGACCTTTCGTCGCTCTTCGGTGATTCTTGGACTTTGGAGCAAGTAGACGACTTTCCTCTCACTGGTATCCATCTCGGCCCAATCCGCGATAGCAATACTCCATTGACATACGAGAATGGTCAATCTACAGAAGAGGGATATGAACTTCATGTTACTAATGGTAGTGTGTACATAGGCGGGACTGGTGCGAGGGGCATGTTTTGGGGAACGCGCACTCTTTTACAGGAGCTGCTAATCGGGAATGGATCACTCGTGACGGGCCGCACAGTTGATGCGCCCGCGTATAGCACACGGGGATTCATGCTCGATGCAGGTCGCAAATGGTAAGTCATCTCCATGTACGAACTGCATATGAGGGGTTCACTGACTTCGTACGCCTATGTTTAGGTACGATAAACACTTTCTCAAAGAGCTTTGTACATATGCCTCGTTCTTCAAGATTTCGGAATTCCATTACCACTCCAGCGACAACTATCCCTTGAATCGTGGCCGCAATGAGACCTGGCAGAATGTCTTTTCGCATTTCTCCCTGTTTCCAGAAGAAAATTCCGAGCTACAGGGCGTCATCCAGCGCCCGAACGAGACACTGTCGCGAGCCGACTTTGAAGACTTTCAAGAACACTGCGCACAACGTGGCGTCACCGTCATCCCCGAAATCGAAGCTCCAGGCCACGCACTAGCAATTACGAAATGGAAGCCTGAGTTGGCACTCGGAAAGAAGGACCTGCTAAACTTGAGCCATCCAGATGCTATCCCCACAGTCAAAGCGATTTGGTCCGAGTTCCTGCCATGGTTCCAAACAAAGGAAGTTCACATTGGTGCTGACGAATACGATCCTGACCTAGCGGATGACTACATCAACTTTGTCAATGAGATGTCCGACTTCGTCAACAGTACTTCCGGCAAGCGCATACGTATATGGGGTACTTATGAGCCATCCGAGAATCTCAGCATCTCGAAGGATGTCATCATACAACACTGGCAGTACGGTCAATCAGACCCTCTTGAGCTTCAGGGTGGCGGATATAACATCATCAACTCCAAGGACTGGTGGGCATACATGAGTCTCAAGAATGATCATATGCCTATCCTACCCGCGCCCTACCCACAGTTTTACAACGTCACGCGCACGATGAACTTCGCCAACATTCCCGGCTGGCAATGGGAGCCGTCCCTTTACAATCCAGTCAATACTACAGAACAGCTACAACCCGGTGCTAGTGGTAACAAGGGTGCTATCCTTGCGGCCTGGAACGATAATGGCCCGGATGCGACTACCCAGCTTGAAGCCTACTACGCGATGCGTGAGGGTATACCCGTCATGGCAGCGCGTGCTTGGGCTGGCACGCGGGGTACAAAGATTGCCTCGGACGATTTATCAGAAAGCGTTGCGTTCCTGGTATGTACAGCGGAGAGCGAAATCGACGCATCTTGACCTCATGGCTAACTCATGACTGATCAGGCAGCCAAAGCTCCAGGACAAAATTTGGATCGACGTTTCCACAGCGCGCAAGTGGACATGCAAAGCCCAAAGCTGCTATCATGGAAGGCTTCTTTAGACAACCGCACTGCGCCGCTAGACTTCGGATCGTATGGTCCACCATACACGCTTACCCTGGAGATATCCTCGCCATTTACCCTCTCTGGGCCCGATACTTCGCTGTCTCTAAGCAAATCTTCCAACGAATCTATTAGCAGCATCGAAACAATTACGTTTACCACTGCGGATGGCTTCGAATATCCTCTACGTTCCGTGTCTCCTAGCGATGGCTTCGATCTTGGCCATCCAGGTCGCATATGGACGAACCAGTCGTCATCTTCTCACGAGCCAGTACCTATCACACTTCCAACTACATTGCGTATAGAAACGGACGTGGTTAATGGTAGTCGCGTATGGGCTAATGATACATTCGTGGGACGTTTCGAAGTGTTCGTGTTTGGGGGACGCAACACGCTGTTTAGCTGGAGTCAAATGGCTCTTGTTGCGCCGCTAGACTCGATGGATGGTGGTGTTACAAGCTTGCTACTACAGACTGGGACTCGACTTGGTGCTTTGTAGTAGGGTAGTAGCAGCTATACATGGCTACTAGCGAGTCTTGTTCAGAACGTGTGTTCGTCTTCTTCCTCAATCCTCGGCGCTAAGTCAAAGCATCAATGGAAACGCAAATCAAAGATCATAAGAAACAACGGGTAGAGAACAGATAGAAGAGCTGGCTCACAGCATCAGCTCCTTTCGCAAATAATCACCTGCGGACACTGTATGGGCCTGTACTTTCTTCTTCTAGCGTAGCTTGGTGACTACACGTGGAAGATTCTACCGAATCGATTGCTAGGATCGATCTTTGCAAGGTCAAGCCTATATCCAAAACAGCCATTTATTCGACGGACTGAGAGTCCTGCCTGTTCAACAAACAATTGAGCGTCAATTGTTGGAAGACCCATCGAGACAAGATATCAACGCGCTCATGCCGTAGATGTGTCTGGGCAAGGAGGCAGAGACCGTTGCATACACTACAACTGTCAAGGTATCTCACGAAAAAACACGCCAAAATTCTTCTAAATGACAACGTGGTTCGTGACATACGGTAAATTTTCATGCTGCACGAGGAGTGAGAAGATTTGTCTGGTGGGTATTTGATGCTCGAGTTGAAATAAAGTGTTAGGATATATCTGAATTCATCTTTAATTTGATGCAAGGTTTACAATCACCGCTATAGTAGTCAAGCCGACCAGTGTACTTACCAGCATATGCGAAGATTTCAATATTGCATCTTTTCCTCAGTATGTCGCCGTCAACCGCTGGATCAAATAGTCTCCACTCATGACGTCCCCGTACTTCCTTCCTTCCTTCTCATGTGTTCCTGGGATAGCTTCGATCTTGCGCTCGTAGTTCGGGTTGCAAAAGTAGGCTATTGAGTATCTGGGCGGGTATTCATCCTTGTCTGCATCTTCTGGGTTTGGCGGTGGCTCCACGACACGATGCAACGTCGACTTGATAGTATCGTTCGACCAGCGTGCTAACAGGTCGCCAGCGTTGATCACTATGGTACCTTCAATAGGGGTGGCGTTGACGAATGTGCCTTTTGGTGAGCGGACTTGGAGGCCACCGCGTGCGTCCTGGAAGAGGAGGGTTACGGAACCTGTGATCAAGTCAGTCGCTCCCTTCTTCTAGTATCTCAAGTCGGCCGCCATACCGTAGTCGCTATGCTCTCCTGCGCGGACTTGCAGTTGCCCATCGTTCCTCTTGAAGATGCTCTTAGATACACCAGGGTAGTGCAACAAGCGCAATGTGTTGTCGCCCGCATCTGTGAAGCCATCAAACCAAGTCTCCTCAATGCCCATGCCCATTGCAATAGCGCGCATGACTTGCATGTGGAGGCTTTTGCATGTCTCAAAGAAGCCCATCATCTGATCCTTAAATTTCTTCGCCTCGTCGTCTCCGCTTGGCCACATGTTGGGTGTTTCGGGCTGGTCATCGCGTCCAATTTCCATGCTCTCCTTCAGGTCTGGCACCAAAGCGCGCATCTCCGCCTCTGTACCAGTCTCTTCCAGCACCACCAGCTTCTCCCGCCCTTGTGTTACGTAGCCGCGGTTGGCGGCGGCGGAGTACCATGCCAACTTGTCCTTCTGCTCTTTCGGCCGCGCGAAGAATTTGGCCGAGTGGGAGAATACGGTGGACACGGTCGAAGGAGATATGCCGTGGTTCTTTAGGTAGACAAAGCCCGCATTTTGGAAGCCTTTGAGGACGGCGTCGGCAGTTTGCTTCTTCGCGTTGGCATCACCAGAGAGAAAGGCAGAGAAGTCGATGAGCTGCGCGTTGTTAGATGCTAATCAAGATCTACAGCTTGACATTGAATACCGGAATCTCCAGGTCATCCTGGGAGACAGCCGAGTCTACTTTGATATTGGCCATGGCGTTACTCGTTAACGCGTTGCTCAGGGTTGAACCTGTGTGATGCAGGGGAACGGCTACTAAAGAGACAGAGGCGTGCTAGAAAAGAAGGCACCAAGATCAGGCGATCGGTACGGTGCCAGCGGCCATCTCCGTAGCTCAGCCATGATGGATGGCTGGGTGTTGTTGGCGGGGTTGTTGCCGAAGACAGAAGGTGTACACGAGCGCGATAAGGCTAATGGTGGGGTCGTTCGACTGGAATCTCAACACCAGACTGACATCGTGACATTTATCTCCGCCTATCGTACAAGCATCTTGAACGTTTCGAGCACAAGCATGCACATCAAAAATTCGCAAGAATCAAACTAGACAGCAAAATGTACGAGGATGAGCTCCTCAGCATCTTCTTCTACAGAAATGGCTTTACAGCGTTGGCTAAAGATGTTTCATCATCGCACGTTACCCAGGTTTAGAAGACTTTAGTCGCTATGGACAAGCTCAGATGTCATTGTATTCTGGCATGCTACGGCATGCCTCGAGAACACGTTGATGATACTCGATGTGGGTAATTTGTCTCTTTCACATCTTAGCCTCAAGAATGTACAGAGGTTTCTGACTCACTTCGAGCTAGTTCATCAATGTTGAGATAGTGAATGAAGAAGGACAGAAGTGAATTGCATCCTACTTTGTTGTTAGTTGCATTGGATACCTAGGCTGGTACATCCAGCAGTACCTAGTTAGTACAAGGCAATGGAGTGAATATACATGTTTCCATGAGAGCGAACGCTTCCGGTCATATTATGTGGATCCGGGAACGTTGTGTTCGTTACTCTTTCACTTTATATTTCACCAATCACGAAATGCAACTTCTCTCCTCAAGCTCAGCCACGGAAACCAATTGAAGCACCTCAACAACCTCCATTGCACTTTCCTTTCTTCAGAGCATTGCTTCATTTCTCCAAGCTGATCTTCCTCTCCAACAGCAACTGGCATCATGTCCAACCTCCAATACAGCATGTCAGCACTCTACCCAACCGAGGGACCTATATCCGCTCCATCTCCATCAATCAAGATCTCATCGTCCTCGATAATCAAAGCCAGATCCACAACCGACGTCCTCACCACCCTTCGCGCCCACCAGATCATGCTCACAAACTTCTACGTCACCCAAAACAACGCTTACACCTCTGCTTACACCGCTTTCGCAACTCAGTGCATAGTCGGGGATATGCTACACACAGAGATCAAGGATGTCGTGATGAAGCTACTGAAACAACAGAAAGATATCATGCTGTTTCAGACTTTCCTGAAGTGCTTCCAAGATTTTGTTGTTGGGCTAGAGGGCAACGTGAGCCATGAGATCGACAGGGATTACGCAGTTTGACGAGGAAGGGTTGGCGAGGGATATCAACAGAATACGACGCTGATGCGTTGATGAAGCCAGCCCCCCAGCGTTCACAATATGTTGTAGCGAAGTGGAACGCACGGTTGGTAGCCTGTTTTCGTCGCAAGAGATGTTGATTGTATTGTGGAGATGGTTGGCATTACATGGATGCTGAAAAACTGCTAGGACGTCTAGAAGAAATTCGATCGTCGTGTACGGTGATCACGCTATCAAGGAGCTGAAGATGTTGTCAAAGGTGGGTTGTAGTTACGGTCTCCAAAAGACACAACCACTAGATCTCAATACATATGCAACAACATTCATTAAAAGTATACATGCATGCATCGCTACGCACCTTGAACAAAATGAGTCGGCCTCCACTTTATACAGATGGATATCCCATGCCATCATAACGCCCAAAACACCGCGTTTTAATTACATGCTAGGCATGAGATACTGTTTGATCACCATAGCGCCGCGTCCTTGTCGAAACGCACCAACTCTTTGCCTGCGTCCTCGACGTCTTTCCTCGCCTTCATGCGCATGTAGAAGATTGGGCAATCCTTCGATGCGCAGATGACCTCGCAGTGAATACTGCCTTGGCATCGCTGACACTGCGTCCAAAGGCGTGAAAAGCGAACTTCAAGTTCACTGACTTTGCTCAGCGTCTTTGTGTACAGCTCGCCGATGCGAGGCCGACAGTTCTCACAAACGGCACCATCTTTCTCATGTGCAGCGGTCAGCGGCTTCTTGCATCCCATACATGTTTGCGTCTTCTTTGCGAACTTCATCAAACCACCCATGGTGGGTGCCGCGACGGTGATGGAACGCGTGTGATCACCAGTGAGTAGCGATGCTGCCTTCTTTTCACCTAGGATAGGCTCGAAAATTCTGCCGAGTGGTTTCGCGAGTTGGTTGTCCAGATAGTAACGCGTATCAATAGGTAAGTTGTTCTCAAGAACAAAGAGAGGATCTTCAGACTTCTCGAAGTTCTTCGCACCTGTGGCGGCTCTGACCATGACGTAGGCGACACGATCACCCAGAGCAGGCGCTGAACCCGCATCGCGCTTCTTCATACGTTCTGCAAGCTCAACGTGTGCTTGTTTGTTGGCATAGCCACCTGTTCCATCTTTGTTTTCTTGCTTGGTAAGGGCTTTGGTGATCACAAGGTTGGACATATCCACCTTGTTCTGCAGAAGGTCTGCAATAGTCTCCTTGACGAACCTGTTTTGACGTTAGTATGTGAGCAAGTAGGGCGAGAGAATAACTTACTCTTGAGCACCTTCCGGATCCTGATCGATCAACAGCATGCGCAAGGAAGTTTCAATGACAGTCTGAACCAGACGGCAATTGTCACGACGAACTGTTTCGATACCCTTCGTGTCCATCTTGTCCCACTTGTTTGGATTGGTCCAGTACAGACCCGCGTAACGTTTCTTGTTGATAAGCAGGTAGGGGAAGTAGACCTTTTCAAACTCCAGTTTGATGGGCTTGATGAACTTCGAAGACACATAAATTGCAGCTTCCTCGCCCAACTTCATAGCTTCTGCTAGCTCCGAGGTACCAAACTTGACCATGACGGAATCAGTGTCACCGTAAATGACCTCGGCATCGTGCGTATATCCATTTGCGATGGTATACTTTGCCTCTACCTCAGCTTTGGTTTTTTCGATCATTTGACGACCGAAACTTGTGGTACTACTTGCGATAGCAAGACATGGCAGCTTTCCGTTAGTGGCACCCGTCAATCCGTAAACCGAGTTGGCGCTAACTTTCAAGGCCAACTGACGACCGTTCAGCACAGCCTTCTTGAAGGGATCGGTCTCGACCGCCAGCTCTCTCTTCGCTCTCTTACGCGCACCTAGCAATTCCTCGAGAATCTCCGTCAAGAGTCCCTTACGTGTCTTTGCTGTGCAAAACATGTCGCCGTTCGGAGTGACAATGTAATCCTCATCCTTCTTCATCTTGAGCTTCTCCACTGTCTGCCTGTCGAGCCAGGTTGTATAGCAAAGATTGTGAGCCTGCATGATACTGGGATAAAGCGAAGCAAAATCAAGAGTTGCGACAGGTTCCTTGTAGTAGCCGCGCTTGGGCTCGATGACAGTCGCACCTTCGTACTGGTCACCGCTGTCGCCTTGGTTTGGGAGATCCGGAACGATGAGTTGATGCTCAAGGGCTTTACGGAACAATTGGCTGATGAAGCGAACTTGTTGTCCTCTGGCAAGAAGGTAGTTGAAAGGCACACCTGTGACACGAGCCATTTCTGTGTAGTTGACCAGACACATGAGCTTATCAAGCAGTCGCTGTGGCAGATAGGCATCCTTCAAACAGTATACAGCCAATCGTCGCCGGGAATTGGAGTCGCCATTGAACAGTTCTGTAATCATACTGTGGTGTACATCTTCTTTTTGCTCTTTGAGGAAGTGAGCGCACACCGAGTTGAGTGTATAACTTCGCAGCTGATGGTCTCGCTGGATGAGTTGCAACAAGTCGAGTTGTAGACGGCCATTGGTGTTGGTCGTCTTCGTGTCTCGGTTTCCCAGCTGTTTACTGGAGAAATTGGAGGTCTCTACCTTAGACTGTACAGTCTTCAGTCGAGACCAATACGGAAATCTCTGCAGTTTGAGGTGTTTTGCGCGATCGAGCAAATACGGAAAGTCGAAGTTGTTGATGTTATAACCGATGATAACGTCTGGGTCGACCTCCTCGACGAAGTCTCGCCACTTCATCAGCATCTCGCCCTCATCCTGGAAAGACAAGACCTGTGTCGCAACAATAGGGCTGACAGTGTCTAGACAGAAGACATTCCTGACGAAGGGTTTCTGTTCTCCGTATCTTGTAACGACGTTTGCGATCTGAATAACGGGGTCGACGTTCGCCTCGGGAAAGACACCTTTACGGCCAGCGCACTCGATATCGAAAGAGAGGATGCGGAGAGGAGCAAGCTTGGCCCATTCGCCTTCGGCCTGGTGAGCGATGAGATCGCTGTAGTGTAACTGTGCCTCAATCTGACAATTGGAGTGTCGATCGCGAGGGCTAATCATCCTGTATTTTCCGGCTGGTACTTCGACCCAGCACATACCGGCGACCTGGAATGTCAGTGACGCGACGACCTAGTTGTCAAAACGACGTACCTTGGTGTCAATCATGAAACGTAGCACGTAGGCGATGTTGTCGAAAGTAAGGATACCATCCTCTCTGGCCGGCCAGAGTCGCTTGTAATTGGCATTGCCTTTTTGCACCATCATTCGGACACGGTTGATCATTTTTGGGTCTGTGACAGTGATTTTAAGATATGGGCTCTTCTGGTTACCCTGAAAGCGCAATATGTTCTCCCTCATACACATCTGTACCGACGCGATGACGGCTGAGTGCTGGTTGAAGTTCTTCTGGCATTCGCTCTCCAGGAAGACCTTGTACGGCTCACAGTCTTCCTTGTGGAAGTTGAGGGGCGCGGCGACGTAGAAGTAATGTTGGAAACCGGTAACGTGGATAAGAACAGAATGGCCAGTCTATATTATATAGTTAGCTCAAGGTCACGTATGTCGTCTGTATGTTGCTCACCTCGGTTACACCAAAGAGCTTGACCGTCGTCTTGCCACCATTGAGTACGCCTTCTTCAGCCTCAATCTGTTGAAAGACGAGATTTTGTGTCATCTCGTTGAAGTCCTCTGGCAAGGGAGGTCGCCGCCATTGTTGGTCGTTCTCTGTGTTGTCTTTCTTCAACGTCTCCATGTCCTGCGTCATCTTCTCCAATGTCTCCTCAAACTCGCTCGGGCCCACCTGGCTCGCGTTGAAGGAGCCATTGACAGTCTTCTGTGGTGGTCTACTCCTCTCGTTGCCATTCTGCATCTTCAGCTTCTTCGACGAGTGGGGCGAAGCCTGTACATTTGCGCGGGTGCTCGATGTTTCGGTAAGGGCGCGTTTCGCCGGTGCTTTGGTTACGGCACCTGGCATTTTGACTATGTGACCGGCAGATACGACGCCTTGGAGCGTGATCTGTGACGGGTGGTGGATGTGTGTTTGTTGTTGGTGAAGCGGATGGAAAGTGCCTAGGGAGAACGCGAAAGCGTGTCGCAGGCGCGAGCGCGTCATCCCTGCTAATTGATTTACGCCACGCTAGCCGTCGCCTGCCATCACAACCCTCTCTGCAGTATATCCACCTCTCATAACCACTCACTCCAGGACATGATTACTTTGATTTCATCTAACCCATCAAACCACGGCTTCATGTTGGAATGCCGTGCCAAGGACCAGGCAACCGTCATGCAATCGTGACTGGCTTTAGGCCATGTCATCGTATGGGTCCTTTAGTCACTCGAAACTAACAACTTCATACATAAACTTACCCGCTTACCCCAACATACTCCACGTAAAGCATTTCCACACCCACAAAACCATATATATCACCTCCACCATGGCCAATAACAACGATGTAATAATAGCGCCTTTCGAGACCGAGCAAGATTTTAGACAAGGACAACACTGTCTTTCCGAAGCCTTTGGTCATCAGGCGAAAGATGCTGTATGGCGGCTGATGACACCAGGCTGGGACACAGACGAGGGACAGACGAAGCACGCCCAAACTTTGATGAAGCGATGGCAATCCACTACCACCAACAAAGATGGACAACCCAACGCCATCTATCTCAAAGCCACTCTGCCTGACCCAGACAAGCAGGGCGAAAGACGAGTCGTTGGCATGGCCATCTGGAAGCAGTTGTCCTTTGTTGAAGGCTACGGCGATCCCTTTTCCAGCGATATGACTGCTGCTCTTGTCGACTATGACGAAAAGAACCAACGCTTCGCAACACAGATGTTCAATTCGTTATGGAAACGACGCATCGCGTACATGCACGAGGTCGAAAAATCAGACCGCAATCCTCCGGCTATCTTCACCTTGGATATCTGTGCTGTTGACCCAGCATATTCGCGTCGTGGTATTGCTACCAAGCTGGTCGAGGCCGGCCTTGCAGAGGCAAAGAAGAGGGGTAACTTGGAGTGCACAACAGAGGGAAGCGCTATGGGGAGAACCGTTTACAAGAGGCTAGGGTTCAAAGATGAGGGTACAGGAGACATTGAGTGGGAGGTCGATGAGGAGTTCAAGGCCTGGGACAAGCCACCCAACGTCTTCTTGAGGACTGGTGCCTGATGGGTTACACTGATGGGCTGAGGTATTGTTGACGATCCGCTTCAGAACACCGTACGTAACAAACATTCTCACATACCAAAATGTCATATCTTAGTCGCGGGCATCTCCGTAGCTTCTTGCCACTTGGGGAAGGTGGGATGTTGGACGCCGTGTAGGTGGGGCAATCCGAAGTTACCCCACCAGGGTCTAAACGCTCACAATACGTCTCAACTTCTAGTCTGAACAGTCTGCCGTGTCTGGTATCTTCTTCAAATTGTCAATGTCGCGCTCGAGACACTCACATACTGTTGCAGCAAGATCCAATAACAGAATTTGACGCGTAGAACGCGTCCCAATTAGCCAGCATGACGATCGTCGACATACACACCCATGTTTACCCTCCTAAATACATGGACCTCTTGCGTTCGCGAACGACCGTACCATACGTTCGAACATTTCCCGACGCACCAGACTCAGCACGTCTCATCATCCTGCCAGGCGAAGATGACCCTTCAACGCCTTCAACCTCACGAGGCCGCCCGATTGGTTCAGAGTACTACGAGATCAAGGAGAAGATAGCCTTCATGGACCTGCACAAGATTGACAAGTCAGTCATTTCGTTGGCAAACCCATGGCTTGACTTCCTTCCCGCGGAAGAAGCTGGAGACGCAGCGAAAAAGATCAACGACGATGTCAACGACCAGTGCTCACAGTACCCCGGCCGATTGTACTTCTTCGGCACTCTCCCACTTTCCGCATCGCCAGAAGCCATAACTGCCGAGATCGAAAGGCTGAGCACACTCAAGTATGCACGCGGTGTCATCATGGGAACTTCTGGTCTTGGACAAGGTCTAGACGACGAGAACCTCGATCCTGTCTACGCAGCACTAGAGAAACACCAACAACTTATATTCCTCCACCCCCACTACGGCCTACCTACATCCGTCTACGGACCCCGAGCGAGCGAATACGGACACGTACTACCACTTGCACTCGGCTTCCCCTTGGAGACCACCATCGCGGTGAGCAGGATGCTGCTGAGCGGGGTCTGGGATCGATTCACAAAGTTGAGCGTACTATTGGCGCATTCTGGAGGTACATTGCCGTTCCTGGCTGGTCGTATCGAGTCTTGCATCCTCCATGATGGGCATCTGAAGAAGCATGGCAAGACGCAGAAAAGGAGGGATGTTTGGGACATCTTGAAGACGAACATCTATCTGGATGCTGTCATTTACTCGGAAGTAGGCCTTGGAGCAGCAGTCGCTGCATCTGGATCTGATCGGTTGTTGTTTGGTAAGTACATGTGCTACAGAGCGTGAATTCGAAGCTAACAATAGTAGGTACTGATCATCCATTCTTCCCGCCACTCGAAGAGGACGCGAAAGAATGGCATAGTGTGAATGCGAACTACGGAGCCATCTCAAAAGCATTCTCCACAGACGACAAGAAGGCACAAGATGTTCTTGGTGGTAACGCAGTGCGCATATTGAGATTAGACTAACAATCGCTCAATCACTATGCGCCATTCATCTCTTTTCATCTGTTCCCGTGCTACTCTTTCCTCAACTCTCGACAACAGTACCACAAGCATAGCCTCAGAATCCCGGCAACGGCTAAGCCATTTGTTGCGCGACAGTAACTATGTGATGAGGTTGACGAGGAGCTGATGAGTGTAGTTGTGTCGTGGAGAACAGAAAGAGAGGGAAGGGGAGCAGGCGAAAGAGAAACATCTTGAGCTTGGACCTTCTCTAGCGCAAGTTATGCTAGTAGCTGACGATGTTTTGAGCATTGAAGGGTTGCGTTGTGAAGGGGAGTGGTAAAGAGAGGAGAGGAGCTGATGGAGCTGGGTGGCGAGCGCACAAGTAGAGTAACAGTGAACATGAATACCTCGAGCGCGATCGATAAAAACATAAAAGTCCAGAATATCGTCTGCAGTCGTCTTGAATGCTATGTAACAATCAAGCAGCCTTAACATCGCCCTTTTCTTCTGCGACCTCTATCAGCTCATCAAACAACTGCTTCATCCACTTCTCCTCGCTCTTCAACGTTGCACTGACAACCCTGATGACATACTGACCACCCACGATGGTGCTTGTCAAGAAGAAATCTCCCTTGGCGTTGATCTTCTCATAAACTTCCTTCGTTCTCTGGTTGACCATTTCCCTATACTGCGCCTCAGCATCAGCATGGAAGTCATTTTGCAGGGCTTCATGCGCCGGATCAGCCTGATTCGCCGCCGCCGCGGCCGACGAACCCATCTTTGGCTTGACCTGGAAAGTCACAAGACCAAATGCTGGTTTCGTAGTCAAACTAAACATCTCCGGCTTCTGTAGCAACAAGTCGTGGAAGTACTCTCCGAGCTTGACATGTTTGCGAATAAATGCTCGTAATCCATTGACTCCGTAGCTCCTGAGCACGAACCACACCTTCAAACTCCTGAATCGACGACCCAACGGAATTTGCCAGTCTCTGTAGTCAGTGACGAGGCCTGACTCTGAGTGAGGGTTGCGGAGGTAGCTAGGCGTGATACTGTACGTATCCATGAGATCTCTCCGCTTCTTTACGAAGAAAGCTGAGCAATCAAAGTTGACAAGTAACCATTTGTGCAAGTTGAAGTTGAAAGAGTCAAAGGACGCGAGGGGTGTGCATAGATGTTGGTATTCTGGGCACACAAGAGCGGAACCGGCGTATGCGGCATCGACGTGGATCCATAGATCAGGGAACTCCTTGGCAAGTGCGGCGATACCCTCCAGGTCGTCGGTAGCGCAAGTTCCCGTGCTACCAATGGTTATGGTAAAGTAGAATGGCTCCAGACCCTTCGCACGACACTCTTCGATCGTTTTACGGAGAGCAGAGGCGGTGACGCTGAAATTGGATTCCTTTGACGCAGGGACACTGCGGTACCTTGTTCCGGCTATGACCGCAGCCTTTTGGGTGGAAGAGTGTGCATGCTCAGAACCTAGTGCAACGAGTTTTCCACGAATGTCCGCCGCTTTGTCCATGCGTTCTTCGCCTTCGGGCATATCGCCGAGCTTACGGCGGATGAGGCGTTCGCGGGCGGCAACGAGGGCTGTTAACACGACTTCACTGGCTGTGCCTTGGATGATACCTCCACCCTCGCCATCGCTCAAGAATTCCTTTGGCAGGGCGATGAGCTTAGCCACCCAGTCCATGACTACGGTTTCGAGTTCGGTGATGGCGGGTGAGCAGATCCAGTTGAACGCTGCGGCGTTGAAAGCACCGCTGTACATGTCGCCGATCATGGCTTCGAAAGATGAGTTACAAGGAAAGAAAGCCATGAATTTGGGACTTTGCCAGTGGGTGAGACCTGGCATGATGACGCGGTCGATATCTGCTTGAATGGTTTCCCATGATTCGCCTTCTTCGGGGGTGGATGATGGAAGGAGTGGGCGGAGGTAGCCTGGCTTGACGGAAGGCAGAACTGGTCGTTCTTCCAGAGTCTCGTAGTATTTAGCGACTTGTACAGCGTTAGTAGATGCTCTTACATACGACAGAAGTAACCTACTCTCATCAATGGCACCTTTCGCCGCGTCTCGAAATTGTGAAGAATCCATTGTGGGGTAGTAAGACAGACCTAAAAATGCCGAACTAATCACGGGGAAGATAAACGTAGCAATCGTATGATCTATAGTCTATGAGTCTGGAGATTGAACGTCGTGTACAAGATATATATTCAGTGTTAGCTCCAACTGTTAGGTTCGTGACGCTAAAATGCGAATGTCCGATGTCGCTAATTCCGCGCAAATTGCCATATTGGGTAAGGACGTCGTCTATGGACGGAATTGTCGCAAGTCTTTGTATACGTAGACCATGTAAGCTGTAGGGCGTAGGGCGTGAGATTTTTCTACTGTGGATTGCTTGGACGGAGGAATCCCTTCTTAGTGGTACTTCTGGTATAGAAAGAAGCCGCTCAATGATCGGAGAGGGTTGTTGCCTGCCAGATCGCTCAAGGCACAAAACTAGGGGGGTGCTATCGGTGCGGAAGGAAAAAAAATTGGTAGTCTGAGATGTTGCAAAGTGAGATACATATCAAATATTGATAACGGGTATACCTATACGCCTCGCTATGATCATAATCCACTGAACATCGAAACGACTGTTCGTCTTCCTTAGTACCGCTTTGCCACTTCAACACCGATGTTCTCGTCTGCATTCGCAAAACCACGAGCCCTAGGCGTAGATTTGCCTGCCACGTCCTGAGGAGCCTCGCCCTTGTACTCCCATCCGCCGTCTTGGGTGAAGAAGTCGACCTCGTCGATAATGTCCCAAACAACATCTTCTGCAATCTGTTCCTTGTAACGCTCACCAATAGCCCGAAGTTTGCGACCGTCCGGAATCTGCTGTTCGGTTATACCACCATCTACCATGTCTGTATCCTTCTCGCGCTGCTTGACCATGTCTTCTGGAGGGCACCAGAATTCGGGGCCGAAGTTGACCTGCGCAACACCACCATTGAATAGTGAGATGGCTGGCAGGTATCCTACCATGCCGTCGTCGAAACCTGTCCTTGCGCCAGCCTTGATAGCCTCGACTGATGGTACACTGGCGGGCGGAAGGAAGGCTAGGAGGTTCTCAAAAGCGATTCCAACCTCCTCACCGTTCTTGTAGACCTTGATGTGCGAGTGTGGCAGCGATCGTACACCGACGTCTTCGTGATTTGGTGAGGGATGTATCTTGGGTACTGGGCCGCGGTCGTGATAAGCCTCGACCATCTTGGTGACCTGGTAGTCGAGCTGTTCGAAGTAAAAGTTGCCTTTGTAGGGCACGGGTATGCGATCGCGGATGATGTCGACGGGCCTGTCGAAGGGATCTTGGTTGCTGACAGTGTCGAAGCCATCTCCCAGATCGACAGCCGGATTGTAGATGCCCTCGACGACTTTGCGATGCATCGATAGCGACGGTAGCTGAATCTCCAGGCCAATGACATCACCTTCTTGAACGTGCTGATCTGTAACATACTCAACAGGCATTGGCTTGCCATGGGGGGGTCTAGCCTTCATGTGCTTGCTCTTTGCATTCTTGGGGAGTGGTTTGAAGATCTTGGAGGCGCGCGATCGGTGTTGGGCTTCGAAGCGGGCGTCGGTGATGCCGTAGCTGTAGCCATCGAAGCCGACGGGTCCGTCCAAAGGCGCCTCCCGCCTTGCCCAACCCATCCTCACGTGGGGGCCAGGCTTTGTCTCTCCCGTCTTGGGGTCAATGGGATCCTTGGGACCATGTACGGGTATGCCTCGTAGCACCTTGACCTCGTAGTATATCCTGCCTTCTCTCGCGACCACATTGCCACGTCCCATGCGCCAGCCCTTCTCTTGAGATACAATGGTTGCGCTGTTGTCGAAATGGAACCACCTGTCGCAGTCTTCGTGGCTCATCCTCGGTCCGTAGGGCCTAGAATCGCTCTGTCTGTAGTACTGTTTGTGACGGAACAGCGGGTCAGCAACGCAGTGCGTGTACTTGTAGCCCTTCTTGTTCCAGGCAATATCGTGCGGCTTCTTCAACTCGGTAACTCCATCAGGCGCATACATGGGGTTTGGCTCGTGGGAGAGCAGAGTGCTGTCTTTTGGCGCTTCATAGTCGGATGGTCTGGGCTCAGGAATGGAGTATCGCATGGGCGAGTCCGCTGAGGGGCGCTCCTTCTTGGACGACTTTGCATTCGGGGTGCTCTGTCTTGTGCTCGCTGAGGCTTCACGTTTCTTGATCGTCTCGCGCTTTTCTCTCTGCTCGCGCGCTGGAGCTTTCGGTCTGGCACGGGCTGCCGCATCGGGATTGGGGTTGAGCGGAGAAGAGACGGCAGGCGCATTGTCGCCTTCGAGTGGTCGCCGCATCGGGGGCACAAGTGTGGGTGTGTTGGAGCGCGAAGGGGGGTGTGAGTCGGCCATTCTGAGGGATCGTGCAGCTGCTGGGGAAGGCGCGACAGCTGTGTTGATGGAAGGCGCGACGGCAGGCCCTAGACATGCAGCTTCTACGGCGGGCTGTTTGGTACGCGAATGCACCCGCGCCGAAATCAAAATTTAGTGGGGTGTCTGGATTCTGACTTTGTCCAACTTTTTTTACTGCTGCGACGCTCGGTACACGTTTGCCCGGAACAGCACAAGTTCACGAATACTTGGGCCAAGTTATTGCGCTTTACACACGTCACTCTTTGCCATCACACACCCGCGATGCCGAAAGCGCCCAAATCGCCCGGTGTGCGCGACCAGCGACACAACCCTCTAGCCGAAGAATATGCGCCCTCGGACCCATGGAAGAACAAGGCGCCGAAGCGACAAAAGCGAAACAAGAGCGACAAGGAAGACGATGAGCAGAAGTATGTAGACTCCAAGAGCTCGCGCAAAATCCTGGAAATTGGAAGAGAGCTAGAAGAGGAGGATGCGAGGGAGAACAAGGCCCGAAGATCGCAAGAAGCCAACCCAGCCTTTGACTTCGAGACACGCATGGGCGAGCATGACATGCCAGGGGAGGATCTGGTCCAAGCCGAAGACGACGACGAGGCCTGGGGCGACGATGATGAGGAGGTGGAGGAGGTTGAGATCGATGCGAACGACCTAGCGGCGTGGAACAAGTTCATACCAACAGATGACAACCCTATCGTGTGGCCCGGCGAGGAGGCGCAACAATCTGGACCAGGCACAGATCTGGCGGCGCTTATTCTCGAGAAGATCGCCGCACATGAAGCTGGAGGCGAAGTACAGCAACCAGAGATCCAAGGCGGTGGTGCTCCAGAAGACGCGATTGAACTACCTGCCAAGGTTGTCGAAGGTACAGCACCCGCGTTGGTTAACCTAGTAACCCTACTAAGCTTGCACAGTATACTCAAAGATTGGCTTGATCTTGAGCCGCTACAAGAGCGGCAAGTTGCCCAAGCCCTTCAAGATCCTGCCCACGATTCCCGCCTGGGAAACCCTCGTCGCCATCACACGTCCTGACGATTGGACACCCAATGCTACCTTTGCTGCGACCCGAATCTTCATTTCCGCGAAGCCGCAAACCGCCCAAATCTTCCTCAACACCGTACTGCTGCCTCTGGTACAACAGAACATCCGGGAAACACACAAGTTAAATGTGCATCTGTACAATGCACTGAAGAAAGCGCTTTACAAGCCCAGCGCATTCTTCAAGGGCATCGTATTCCCTATGCTCACAGATGTCTCTTGCACACAGCGCGACGCCGTCATTGTAGCTTCCGTCGTAGCCAAGATTTCCGTGCCCGTCCTACACTCTGCCGCCGCCCTCCACCGTCTCTGCGAGATCGCTGCCGAGCAAATGTCTTCGGACCCGGATGCCGCTGGCCCCTGCAACATCTTCATCAAGACACTTCTCGAAAAGAAGTATGCCCTGCCCTTCAAGGTCATTGACGCGCTCGTCTTCCACTTCCTGCGCTTCCGCGGCGTAGGTGCGAGCAGCGCCGACGCCATGGACACCGAGTCGGTAGCAGGCGACCTCGGCAACACAGGCAAACTGCCCGTCATTTGGCATCAGTGCCTGCTTGCTTTTGCGCAAAGATACAGGAACGACATTACAGAGGACCAAAGAGAGGCGCTGCTAGACCTGCTGCTCACAAGAGGTCACAGGAGCATTAGCGCTGAAGTGCGAAGAGAACTGCTTGAAGGAAGAGGCCGCGGTGTTATGATTGAGCCACCTGCTGTAGGTATCGATGGCGATGACACGATGATGATGGCCGTCGATGCGTGATCGAGGCAATGTTGGACTCGACTGTCATGAAGATTATGAGCATTTACCGGCGTTACTAGAAAGGGATATCTGCATTTTCCTTATGGGACTTCAATCGATACTGAATATACCCACATTCACATCTCGCACTTTTTACACTTTCGAGACAACACTCTCTCACTCGCTCTTCACTTCAGCCTTCCCTTTGTAGAATGCAACATACCCCTTGATCCGCTTCATGCTGTCCAATGGCTCCGGGTAGTACCAAGCCGCATCCTTTACTTCGGTCTTGTTGGTTGTGACGGTGTAGTAGCTTGCGTCGCCTTTATAAGGACAATGTGTCTTGGTATCAGTGGGAGTAAAATGGTTGCTTTTGATGGTGTTGGGTGGAAACTGGGGTGTGTTAGGGTTTATGCGAGGATACCGGAAGAGAACATAGTACGTAGATGTTTCCGTCAACGACTTCGTAGGTGTCAGTTTCGGCCACTACGATTCCATTTACAGTAGCGGTTGCATGAGGCATGTTTGGGTATTGAGTTGGAAGTGAGCTGGATCACGGAATAATGTTTAGATACTTGAAGTTCCAGCTAGGTGGTGAGTGCGTTGCGAAGTTGTATAGTGGTTTGGAGGGGGAAGGTCTATCGATAAGCATGCGAGCGGGGTGAATGCATGGCATCATCATTCTTGTTTGTAATATGAGCTTACTATACACGATGTTGGTCCATGTCTTTCGGTCCTGCCGTTTGCTATGTTGATGCTCTACGGTAGACGACATTGGTCGCCTTGCGTGGTCGTGTGCTCAGAATGTTACACATGCTGAGTAACGACAAGATAGCCAGGGTATCAGAAAAGATACCAGGAGCACGCAACTAAGTCAATACAACAAATACGCACAAGTGCAGCAAGATATCAGGAACGAAAGGTGGAATTAGTCAATGAGATCCATGCTGGTCCGTGTCGTCTCGGGCGATCTAGGATGGATACTGCTTCCCACGGTTGTGGGAAGCGGGTCCGCAAAATCACGACTTCTTGCCGTCAGGTATGCAGGTTCGCTGAGGCTCCATGGACATGCGGCTCGGCTAAAAGGCACGGGAAGCCATAATTCATCCCTCCGAGGCGCCGGGTGCGCACTGCAAAAGTGCATGTACACGGCTGACCACCGGAGTCGGTGCCGAGCCGATGCAGCGCAAGACCATGCCTTGTTGAGCAGAATAATGGAGCGCAGAAAGAATCGTGTGTGTGTGTGGTGAGTCAACTTGCGAACCGCTTGAGTGGTGTCGCTGGACGCGGGTCAGAGGGTCAGCCGCAGCAGCATCGCGAAATGCAAAACAAAGCGTGGGAGTGACGGGTGATCGGCCTCGACGAACTAATGGTAGCAGTCGGCTCTACAAATAATTCGCGTGTAGTAGGCATGGACACGGCAGGGCGGGCTTTAATTGGAACAGGGCTTATCTTTTGGCGCAGAAGCAAAGACCCCTGCTGGACGTCTTGGTAGGGTGTTCGTCATCGCTAAGGAAAAAGTTGACTTCCGCGCACTCTGGAGCCATCCTCAACACCTTTTGTTCGCCTTCCCTATCACCTATATCCAGCCATTGATTTCGTGAAGCTCTCCCGCGGCTTCCTCCATCCCAATGGCACCCAACATGAGGCCGCTCGCCGCTTCTGCCAACGTCCTCTCGCAGGTTCAGCTGGCTGGACGCAGGAACTTGAGCACACAGCGCCCGTCGCTTATCGCCAACAGGGCGCAATGGACTCCCCGGCCTACCCAGTATCAGATTGCTCTCCGCCAGTCTGTCCGCCAGCAGTCAAGCGGCGCGCCCAAGCCCAAGCCCAAGAGGTTCCGCCTCCTGCGCTGGACATGGCGCCTCACCCAGCTCTCCGCCATCGCCGGCCTTGGATACGTCGGATACGGCATCTACGAGACTCGCAACCCCGCCGACCAGCCGCCGCCTGACCCAAGCAAGAAGACTCTGGTTGTTCTCGGTGAGTAGCCATTAATCAATTGTGTGTTTCTACGACGCCGCTGACACGCGACAGGTACCGGTTGGGGCTCCGTCTCTCTGTTGAAGAAGCTCGACACGGAGAACTACAATGTCATCGTCGTCTCCCCCCGAAACTACTTCCTCTTCACTCCTCTCCTTCCCTCATGCACTGTCGGCACCATTGAGCACCGCTCCATTATGGAGCCCATCCGCAATTTCTTGCGCCACAAGAAGGCGCAGGTCAAATACTACGAAGCCGAGGCCACCAAGATCGACTACGAGAAGAAGGTCGTCTACATCAGCGACGACTCAGACATCAAGGGCGACGTCTCGCAGACCGAGGTTCCCTTCGACATGTTGGTCGTTGGTGTTGGCGCTGAGAACGCCACTTTCGGTGCGTCATCTGCCCACTTTGACCAGAACAAAGCTAACATAGAACAGGCATTCCCGGTGTCAAGGAGAACGGTCTTTTCTTGAAGGAGGTCGGCGATGCTCAGCGCATCCGAAACCGCATCATGGACTGCTGCGAGACCGCTACCTTCAAGGACCAATCTGACGAGGAGAAGAAGCGCCTGCTACACATGGTCGTTGTTGGAGGTGGTCCCACTGGTGTTGAGTTCGCTGGTGAGCTCCAGGACTTCTTCCACTCTGATCTGAAGAAGTGGCTCCCCGAAATTCAGGATAACTTCAAGGTTACCCTCGTTGAGGCTCTGCCCAACGTCCTTCCCATGTTCTCCAAGCAGCTCATCGACTACACCGAGAAGACCTTCAAGGAAGAGACCATCACCATTCGCACAAAGACCATGGTCAAAAATGTCACATCAAAGTTCATCGAGGCTGAGTCGACCGGCCCCGACGGCAAGAAGCAGCTCGAGAAGATCCCTTACGGTCTTCTGGTCTGGGCTACCGGCAACGCTCTCCGACCCATTGTCAAGGACCTCATCAACCAGATTCCCGCACAAAAGGACTCCCGCCGTGGTCTCGCCGTAAACGAGTACCTCGTCGTCAAGGGTACCGAGAACGTCTGGGCTGTCGGTGACTGCGCCGTTGCCAACTACGCCCCCACTGCCCAGGTCGCCGCCCAGGAGGGTGCTTTCCTCGCCCGCATGTTCAACAACATGGCCAAGACCTCCGAGATTGAGGGCGAGCTTGCCGAGCTCTCCGTTGCCCAGGAGAAGGCACCAGGAAAGGAGGCCCGTGACAAGGTCTTTGGCGAGATCAAGGCTCTGCAGCAGAGGCTGAGGAGGATCAAGTCTATCGGTCCCTTTGAGTACTCCCACCAGGGTTCGCTCGCCTACATTGGTTCCGAGAAGGCTGTTGCCGACATCTCATGGTTCTCTGGCAACATTGCTTCCGGCGGTACCATTACCTACATCTTCTGGCGCTCCGCATACCTCAGCATGTGCTTCAGCACCCGTAACAGGATATTGGTCATGCTTGACTGGGCCAAGGCCAAGTGCTTCGGTCGCGATGTCTCGCGTGTCTAAACGCCTTTCCTACCATTGGCGTTCCTCCTTTTCTAGAGATTCCCTAAAAGTTCGATTACCTGAAGGGCAAATGCCATCGACGACGGCGTTGCCAATGTATACAACACACACCTCCCGGCTTTTCTGTACGATTACCAAGACATGTTTTGTATAAGGGTGTAATACCTTCGCAGTAGGGGGGGCTCTTCGGGTTTTCGGTCTGGCTACATTTTCTTGTTGCTAGTCGAGCTCGGCGTTCTGGTGCCTTTTTCTTTGTCAAGGGCGGTCTAGATAGATTTGGTTTCCCCGTTATCTCCTCGAGCAAATCGTAGAAACTATGATAAAATAACGGAAGATCCAATTGCAGTATTACCTTGTTCTGAGCTCGACCCCTTTCCATCTCTCTTGCATTTAGTGGCTGGGTCATATCCGAGAATGGCATATTTCTACATATTGATGCATGCTAAGAATAATGATTGTTTCGTATGTTAAGATGTATAGGCATCAATGCTAATGCTCCCAAGAACGCCGATCGTAGATGCAACTATGCAATACGCGCCCAGTAATAGAATCCAGCCATGACCTCAATATGCATTGTAAATGCAACTAGCTCACTACCGAGGACTCCCCACAGCCCCATAACTCCTTGGACTTGCATGTCTGCTTGTTCCCAAGAGCGCCCTGGCTTCGTCCAAGGCACTACCCTTGCCTTTGATAGGAATGCTCTTGCTGGAGCTACTGCCAGCCAAACTGGCTGGACTGCTTTCTCTCGGAGAATCCATGGGCGTGTTCGCGCGACTCACATTGGGCGTAGCAGCTACACTAACAGCAGGTGCCCAGCCCCTCATCCACCCGCTTACTCGGCGCCAATGCATACTCCTGCGCACGAGCTTGCCGTGATCATCGACGGTGATGATGACTTCGTCGTCACGGGGCAGCGCAGACCGGCCGCGTGGTGCAGCGTCGCCGAAATACCAGAATTGAAGACCAACGGCTGCGTCCATGAGGAGAACGCCAGCTGCGCCAAAGAAGAAGGGTGCCGCGCGTAGAACCCAATTTTCTCGCACACTACCTTGAGGGTCGACCCAGCCAGAGCCTTCGCCAGGTGCGTAGTCGTACCATGCACAGGGGTTTGTAAGCAGAGAAGTCGAGTAAAAGAGGTTACCAAAGAAGGCTGCTGCGAAGAGCGCGGGTGAGAGACCAGCTGTCGATTTGCGGACTTGGTTCATGTATAGTTGGGGGAGGCGGGATCCAAGGTAAAGGAATGTGCTCATCCAAGAGAAGACTTTGCCAGCAATGGCCGCAGCGTCGGCCGAACTGGTCGTTGTGGTTGTGTAGGCAGAAAGGCTGCGGGCTCGGACGAGACCTGGGGCGAAAGGACTTATGGGTGTGGCGGTAGTAGGGTTGATGAGTACCGCAAGCATAAGACTGACGTAGATGACAGTCTTGGGTGAGGGCATAGGTGAGCTCGACGCTGCTACCCGTACCTTGGGGTTCGGGGATGCACCAGATGGAGGTGTGTTTTGCCACGACTCTTTAGTGGGCATTGGTGAGCGCGCGAAGTTGGGTATTCTAAAAGTGTCCTTGCCGTTTGAGCGTGGTACATCCTTTGCCGCAGTATCCTGTGTGCTGTTCTTTTTGTCGGAGGGATCTTGAGGGGTCTTCGGGGGGCTGAGTGTCTTGTTTGTACCACTGATGCTCATCCCATCCAGAACTTGATGCATAGCAGAGCCGCCAGCGCCCGAGCCGCTGCCAGCCGAACCGCTGCTCCAACGTCCCCAGATGGGCCTCAGAGGCCTTCCGTGATGCAGCATTTCATACCACACCCACTGAGCGCATAGGCAGCAGTCTACGAAAACGTAGTACCCTGCGATTATAATCTGCCATGATGCCTGCCCAGTGAAAAGGCAACCCAGCAAGTTGGTCACGTCACCCAACAGCCACTCCGTCAGAAAGAAAGCGCTCAGGCCGGATGTCGACTTTAACTTGTGGTTCTTGTATATTTGTGGTAGCTGTGCGAATAGCCATGATATGATGCTACACGTGCCGAGTAACGTAGAGATGAGAGCGAGGTTTGTAGGCACGCAGGTGTGGAAGAAAGCCGAGAGATGGTAGAGGAACTCGTTCGCAGGTTCGCATGTCGGTGGTAACGTGGGTTTGGCTATATGTAGGGGGGATAGGTAGGGCGGCATGGTGCCATGTGTCGAGTACGAGGGTGTGGGAGGAAGTCGCGACACAACTCTCTAGGGCTGTGATTTCCGTATAGAGTCAACCGGGACTGCTAACCCGGATGTTTTCCTTATACGTCTTACTTGTTGCTTCTTCCTCGCGTCTCCGTAGCGCAGGCTGGGTGGTCAGGTGCTGGTTCGGGCTCTAAGTACAGCCACCGAGGTGTGGGTGCAACCTCGTATACAAGACACGCGCAACGTCAGTGTCAGAATCCAATGATGAATCTGGCGACCGTGTCTGCAGGCGTAGTTTAAAAGTCAACGCGTGAGAGTCGCTGTTCAAAGCGCGGCGCTGTGACGTCGTTGATCCGGTCCGTGGCTGATAAGAGTCGGCGTGCAGAACAACAAGTTACGACAAGCACAGAGAGCGCAGAATGCAGGTAATGGAAGGAGAAGAGTAGAAGAGAAGGCACGAGACGTCAGCGAAGTGTGACAGAAGACACGGCGCAACACAGCGGCCGTCAACAGTCAACAGTCATGACTACCCCCCAGCCAACGGTAGACTCGATAAAGGAAGCTCTCCACATGCTAGAGGATCCCCCGGCGGGCTCGCATGACCGATACTGAGCCAAGCGGCGTCTGTTACGGTTAGGGCAGGCATGACGGGAGATCAGTGTGACTTGCGCGGGTGGGATGCGATGAGTGATAGATAAGAGTTGCTTATCTCAAGGCAATCCGCGGGCACGCGACTCTCCTAGCTTACGCTGCATTTCCCCTTGCCGCCGTTCGCGGGCCTTGGCGATGCGCATCATCTCTGCGCGCCCGGCGGAATGCTTGCCGGCTGGCTCGCACCACATTCATATAACATCGCCAGATCCACGCGCATCAAAGATCGGATCAACTTCAATCTGGAGTCGACCTCTAGCGTGTCCTGCGTAGTCATAATGCATGCCGTCTGCCCCTCCTCCGCCATCGGAATGGGTCTTTCGCTTCGGCCTCCAAGCGTCAACTAATATGCTCCACTAAGATCAGCCTCGAAACGTAACAGAAACCCACCATCGAGCAGAGCGAGGGTTTGTGGTGTCTCGACGTCCTTGGGAGTTGCACGTCGGTGAGACCGGTCCAGACTGGGAAGTGCTAGCGAAAATACGAGAAGAAAATAAGTCTTAAAACATTATGATTGGAATTAACTACCATACATGTTATTCGTATGTTGATGAGTCTAGGTAACTCTCGCGACCTGTGGCACCCAATGTTTAAACAGCATCACCGCCATCCTCGACCCTGGCATATCTACCCTCCTTCTGAGCCTTCCACCGGGGACTGCAATCCGTCAGCACGACTCGGCATGCGACGGAGCCGAGTGAACATACTAGAAGAAGTTCCTAAAGCCCACAATACCAGCCGTCATCGCCGCATATCCACCCAGCAGCCTTGACCAGTTGCCTTCCTGTCCAACAGCCAACGCGACGAGATCGTATACCAGGCAGCTACCAAATATCCAGTCGCTCATGCTGGCCGCAGCTGCGAATCCAACACCAGTGGCGACCTGTACGAGCGAGCTAGGTTCCACGCCTACATAGTAGGCTGCTGATGTGTTGTGGAGGAGATCCAGTACACCGATACCTGCGAATGTCTTCGCAACGATGTGTGTGAGGAAGTTGGGTGTCGAGCGTGTATCGAGCGGTTCGAGCGCTGTGGCAATATAACCGACTTGGGCCAATGTGTTGATGATGACGAAGATGTTTGATGTCTCCAAGTTGTTTGAGTTCCAGAAGAACATCCAGGCTGTCGCACATGTCAGTATTGGTTGTCCATGACCAGAGCGATATTTCAAAGGTAAGACATACTTCCAATGCAAAAGTTGCCCAAACTGTAAACCCACGCAAACTTATTCATCATCGCACACTCCTGTGCATTGCCGTCTTGCTTCCACAGCTTCCACAACCAGACCAGCTGGAAGATTTGTTGTGGGAAGAAGAATGCGCCGATGAAGTACGGGTATGGACTGAAGGCGGCAAGGTTCCGGTTGTGGATGTCCATCATATTGGGCGACGAGAAGATGCCATATTGTTGCAATGCAAAATCATAGATGAAAGAAGCCGGCGCAAGATACCGCACTGTGGATTGTGTATTGCCCATGCTGGCGGCTGTGATAAGATTCGAGACGGTGGGTGGTGAAGGTAGAAGAACGATCACGTGTATGAACGCGATGCAGAGATACGGGATTGCAGATGCGGGATAAGATTGAATGCAAAGGTGTGGTTGCTGTTGTCTTTGTACCATCTCAAGTTGCGTGTGTCGTGAATCGAAGACGTCATCCCAAACGCGATCTCACCTGCAGGGTCCAGCTCCCGATGCGGCATGAACATCATCTTCATCATCGTGATGTCGGTACCCGGCGGAACGCTTCGCACCGACTGCAACTGCATTAACGTCTCGTATCGTTTCGGCTTCGGCGTTCTTGCCTCGGAACCTCCGACATTGGTTGTGTGTATTGCAGATGCAAAAGCCTTAACTTTGCTGCCATGTCTATTGTCGACGATATCTAGAGCTCGTACTTCAATCCGTTCTCCTCGCATAACTTCCGCAGGCAATCATCTTCAGCCTCACCAAGCCACTCCCTGTCAATTGCGACATATACCTGCTGAAGCTGGGGGGCTGAAGCTCCCCAGTCGCCCTCAACAAAGTCGTTCAGGACCGATGTCAACTCTTCCGCGCCCCAGGCGTCGCCAAAGAAGTCATCGGTAAAGCAGAGTTTCTTCATGCTTGATGGTATGGATTCCTCTAGCCTGGGAGCAGAGAAAGGTCTGCAGCCTAGTAGTACGGCTGGCGGGAGTTGAAGAGAGGAAAGCACAGGGAAGTCGTGAAAACTACACATGCCGCGTACGAGGCTGTCTTCATACACGGTAGGCGATTTCATTTGAGAGACAAATCTCAAATGTTCCAAGGTACTTTTAACGACGTCAAAAGCTGCGTTGAGCGACCCACAGTCCAGCGAGTCTTCATGGGTAGTCCAGTACTCGTAGTCCAATGTTTTGAGAGCAGATGTATAAGACAGCAGTTTGGCCAGTGTGTCTGGCGTCACAGAAGACTCGTAGAGTCTCAAGGTCGTCAGCTTTGAGCAGAGAGGTGGGAATTCCGTCATCTGGAATCCCTCGTCAGCAACCTCATCCATCAAATTCATCTCGATGGTCTGGATTATCGGACACCAGAAGAAAGCCCAATACCCCCTCCAGTCTATATGTGGATGTAGCCAGTCAATCCGACTCCACATGTCAGACTCTTCTTCGTCCTCATCAATAATACGTGTATATCCCAAAGTTATCCTTCGAAGGTTGCCACATCCTGGAAATTGTTTTGTGCCTTCGATGGAAGGAAGGGACCATAAGAGCGTAGGGATAAATACTACGTCGTCGCCAATGTGGAACCCTAGATGAAGCGACGCGAGATTTGAGCATGTACATATGAGCAGCGCGATCGTAGCATCCAGGTCGTACATCAAGACAGCATCATACCAAGACTGATGGCTAACTGTAAAAGCGTCTGCATGCCCATCGCGCCGTCTTCCAAGTCTTACGCCGTGTACGGCGTCCATGGCTAACCGCTGCTTCTCAGTCGTCCAGTCCTTGGCAGCATCAGGTCTCCGCTTCACTAATGGCTTCTGTCTTCGTGGAAGGACACCCCAAGTCGACCAATAACCCCTAAATCCCGTACTCTGCAATTTGAGATGGGTGATGCATTGCGCATATCTAGGTTTTGCCAAGATTGTTTGGAGGAGCAGGTTGGGACGAAGGGATTGTGCTGCATGCTGACTGTCAACAGTCAGAGGGCGGGTCGTATCGCTGGCTTTCCACGTCAGGCTGATGTGGTTGTAGAGTCGCTCTATCGTCTTTATGTGCAGGGCTTTGCAGCTCTGAGAAAGATTTGAGATGTCTTGAGGTAAAGGGAGGTTGCCGATTATATAATCCAGAAGCTCCTGTGGAAGCTGAGCCAACGGACATGCGCTATCCGAGGGGTGCATGATGAGCTCTTGGGAATATCGGGCAGACAGGTAGTAGATTTTTGACGAAGATGGTGTTCAGATATAGGGCCGGAGTTTGTGGCCTTGTTAATGCCGAGATCATGTCTTCCGACTCGATCCTCCTCTGTCTTTCGAAACGACACTGCATCAACACACCACGGCTACAACACGAGACTGAAGCGCTTAAGAAGTAGTTGCAAGAGGCTGGAAGGCAAAACAAGAAAGAAAAGGAATACACATTGTGACTAAACAAGAAATCGTCTACCGGAGAGTATTGCTATAGTCACGCTGCAGCCGCATATAGACGCACGAGGGCCAGGTGTAACAACTATAGGACGAGGACATCTTGGCGAGCTGTTTAAGAGGGCATCGAGAAGATGAGTAGGTATACAATAGTATAGTTCGCGTAGGGCGTGTCCCGATGATCAACCTATTCAAGCCGATAATGCGCAAAGCGAAGAGGCATCGGAAGGCTAATGATAGTGGATAAAAGGCGGATCAAGAAACCCGCGGAATGGTGCACAAGTGCTGGTATATCCTTGCTGGGGATAGTACCTTCCACGAGCGCTATAGGATACCAGGATGCAGAACTGGAAGAAGGCCCAACTATCTTAGCGTCGGATATATGACTCGTGTATTTTTCCATTAGCGTTCCCCACATGTACGCCCGCACGCCATGGACGGGCACTACGAGTTAGGATCGCGTGGCACAAACCATGCCTCCGACTTATGCAGAGATACTCCGATATTTTTGCGTGTAAGATGTTGCACCGTGGGGCAGCCTCCAAGCATGTGATGTTTAGTTGCTCATGTCTCGCTCAGTCGTTTCACGTCTGCTTCTCCTCTCCTCTCCTCAACTTCTATTGCATCACGCAAGAGCACTCTTTTCTCCTTCTGCAACCTCTCTCCTTGAACTCAAGCCTTCAGCAGTTGATAGCACTATCACATCATGACAGTAATGTCAATCCCACACCTTCGTAAGACCAAAACCTCAAGCCAGCTCATCGTCAATGGCGAACCTTTCCTCATGCTCAGCGCCGAGCTGCACAACTCCACACTGAGCTCAGCAAAGTACATGGCCGATGACAAGATATGGCAGAATATGCGCGCAATGCACATCAATACGCTGCTCGGTTCAGTATCCTGGGAACAGATTGAGCCTATAGAAGGTCAGTTTGACTTCTCGAATCTCGATGCTGTGATCTTGGCGGCGCGCGAACACGGCATCAAGCTCGTGCTCCTTTGGTTCGGAAGCTTCAAGAACGCGCTCAGTACATACGTGCCCGCTTGGGTCAAGAAAGATGTGAAGAGGTTCCCGAGAGTACATGCGCTGGAAGCAGGAGGCAAGCGGAGAACGCTGGAGCTGTTAAGTCCATTCTGTGAGGCGGCATGGACGGCTGACGCAAAGGCATTTGCGAAACTTATGGCCCATCTGAAGGACTTTGATGGACAACATAGTACTGTGCTGATGGTGCAAGTCGAGAACGAGACTGGCTTATTGGGCGATTCTAGAGATCGCTCAAAGATTGCCGATAAGAAGTTCCAGGAGCCCGTACCGAAAAAGCTGCTTGAATACCTGCAGTCAAACAGTGCTCGGTTACACCCAGAGTTTCAGAGACGGTACAACGTCAGCGCAGCTAAAGCAGGCGAAACATCATGGACAGAGCTTTTTGGTGCTGACGACATCATCAACGCTAATGAGATGTTCATGGCAGATGCTTACTCAAAGTACATTCACCATGTCGCATCTGCTGGCAAAGCCGAATATCCGATACCTCTGTATGCCAACGTCTGGCTGAACTTCGACAACCCTACGGACCTCGATCTTACCGATATACCAGTTGTAGTGGGTGGCGGAGAAAAGGCCGGCATTTACCCATCCGGTGGCCCATGTCCGCATACAATGGACGTCTACACCTTCAATGCCCCCAGCCTAGACTTCATAGCACCGGACTTGTACTTTCACGACTACGAGATGACCTGCCAAAACTACAGACATGACGGTCAACCACTGTTTATACCCGAACAGAGGCGTGATGAGAAAGGTGCGCGACGGATCTGGAGCGCCTATGCCAACTACCTCGCGCTGGGATGCTCTCCGTTCGGTATCGATTCTCTTGCAGCGTCCGAAAGCGCTTTCACGAAGCACTACGGCTTGATCCATTCATTGCGAAAGCAGATTCTGGAAGCGCAGGCGAACCGGCCTGAAGATATGATGGGCTTTTTCTTCGACGACTTTGTCGATGGCCAAAAGATCAGCGAGAAACCTCGAACAAAGACTATGGGAGGCTTCCAGGTCATCATAGAACGTGCATTCGTTTTTGGTAAGCCGGGGTCTGGAGCAGGTATGGTCATACACCAGGGGGACGGGAAATTCCTGTGCGCAGGCTGGGGCTTCAACCTCTCCTTCAAGAGCGCCAATCTCAAGTCGACTTTCACCGGCATATTACATGCAGAGGAGAAGGAAGTCAACCCTGAGACCTGCGAGCTGTCGACGTTGAAGATTTTAGGTGGTGACGAGACAAGAAGTGGTGAATTTTTGATCATGCCGAACGAAGACCCCGACTATGGAGGTTTTCCCATCGCAGTGACTATCCCAGCCAGAACATGCATTGCCGAGTGCTGGGCATATAGCCTCGAAGAAAGTGAGGAGGACTTTTGAACACCCTACATGATAAACAGCTAGCATCTTGCGACATAGATACTCTCAGTAAGATTATATCGCAGGCCACTCACTCCTGTTACGCTACAGAAAGCATAAATTCAGACATATGGTGTTTGCACCGCAACTCGTTGATCTAGGCTCTCCAGCTTTGCTAAAAGCTTATCCAAATTTATGCTTGCTTGTAAAGTGGTGCCTTGCGATCCGGTTCGCAGCTCATCCAGAAGAGCGCCACCAATGTCTCTAATTTTCGGCACAATACTATATCCGTTAGCATCAAACACCTCTTCTGGCATGTTGTATAGGACATCGAGCAGCTCGTCCACCACGCGATGTCGCTCATCGATAATAGCGCCCGGGGTGACTCGCATGTTTTGATCCTTGGCCAGAGTATTCATCTGTTCAAGCAGGTTGGATCGAATGTGCAGTTGCGTGACCTTGAGATTGACCTTTTGCACATTGAAGGCGAACTGTCCGACGGCATGAGGCGGTCGCCACGCGAGCTCTGGGCGCACGTCTTCAAGCAATTGTTGAGCGCGCATGATGTGCTCATGTAAATTATCCATACTTTGAGTTGTGATCGCTTGACTGGAATGCCATACCATGAAGAGCCTGGAAAGTACGTTGAGTCCCGGGACATACGAAAAGCACGGACTGGTGTCTTCAGCGGAGCTTGCGTCAGCACCATGTAGTAACTGTATGTCGCTAATCTCCAACGGAATTAGATGACCGAAAGCTTCATGCGCGTGACGCAGCACCAGTAGCTGTCTCCCGTGCATATCGCAGGTGCACTGGCCGGCGTAAATAAGCCAGTAGAGGCGCTTGAGGGTCTGCTGATCCATGAATGACATTCGCTCGAACTTCTCATGGATGAGGTACTTGATGCCGACCGAACTCCCCGCAAAGAGGCGGTAGGTCAGTGGAGAACCAAGGCCGTGCTCATGGTTGACAGCGCTGGAAAAATTGTACAGCGCCAATGTTCTCTCTAGTGTGATCTCGCTGCTCACGCTCCACATTCTGAAGCGTTCAGCCAGATCCAGACATGCCTCTACCGATAATTCTCCGTAGAGGTGGCGCCGCCTACGAAGGCTAGCCACAGTGGCAGCGCAGACTGATACTACTAGCAGGAAGAACGCCGTCGAGCCGTCATCCTCGGATATTCTTTGCATGAACAGAGTGCGATGAAAGAGCGGAGCTACAGGATGAATCCAATCGAACCAGTCAGTCGTAATCTGGTGAATGATGGCAGGCGGTGCTATGAGCCCCAAACGCGGTTGCTGAGGTTCACTCTCCGCTGCAAACGTGCTATTGCCGTCAAGGCACGCCCGCAATGAGTGTACATATCGGTTCTTTGGTCCTCTCTTTTTCCGCGGTCTCATACTTGTACACTCGATATTGAGCTCAGTACAGACCGAGCATTTTGATTCGCTGGTCGACGCGACACACTGGTGATGTCAGGCTGCGAGTCTGCCCTGAACCAAGTAATCCTCACCTTGACTTTCCTCGTACGGCATGCATCGCAAGCTGCCGAAGTACGCTGCCGAACGCGCTCTTCCCGTTCCGATCGTTCTTCCATGTTGTGAGTGTTGGTTGAAGCGCAGAGAACCTGAACGCCGCAAAAACTGACGGAAAAATGATGCATTAGCGCCAGGCTAACGCTAGCCTGCTGGATCGATTCATCACCCATGTGTCTTCTCCGCACTATCGCTCCACTTCCCCATGGCACTGGATGCAGGCATACCGACGATTTGGTCGAGACCACGAGGTGCGTCAGACCACTTCGTTCAGGGTATATATATGCGTAGAGATTTGCACTATTGAAGCAGAAACATCGAAGTTTCATCGACAAGAAGCCGCCTCTCACTTCGACCGCAATGGACAGCAAACAGGATATCGGAGTTGATCATCGAGAAGATGTTGATCACCACGGCCAACCAGAAGAAGACATGCGGCCTTGGTACCATCAGTCCGAACTGCGAAAGCTGTACTTGCTGATGCCATTCTTGTTCCTCGGTTCTACTACCCTAGGGTACGATGGCAGTCTCCTCAATGGTTTACAGACTATGCCAGCATGGAAAGAATGTATGTTTCTGCTCTCCTATATCTCACACTAATCGCCGAGAACTGACATTACTGTTAACAGTCTTCCATCACCCCACAGGATCACGTCTCGGCCTCCTGGGTGCATTCCCGGGATTCGGCGGCTTCGCAGTTCTCCTGTTTACACCCTACATCGCCGACATGATGGGACGCAGGCTGGGAACAGCGATCGGTTGCCTCCTAGTCATTATGGGTTCGATCATTCAAGCCTTTCCACGCAAAGATAACCCAGACGCCA